AAAAAAGAGGTTTCTTCCCTCAGGAGTTTGCAAATTAAAGTTCAACATGAGGAAGGGTTACCAAAATGCCATGTTCTTTGTAGTTAGAAGTGAAAAACCTTTTGGCAGCCAATAATAAGGTATTATATGAGTTTTAGTCTACAACATCTGCAAGATCAAAAGTTCACTACCTGTTCATTAGACTTTCATAGTGTGTCCTAACTGATGGTGTCTACTTAAGAGTGGTGATAGAACATAATGATTTACAATCAATTAAGTGAGAAAATTGACAATTTATAACGAAATTAATTGATTTAAGTTACACAGAATCATGGGATCGTAGAGTTGATGATATCACAAGGCCATTCAGGCCAACACCCAATTACAATTTCAATGTGAACAATTCCATAATTGTTCTTAACTAAACTATAATTTAAATTAGAAAGTATCCTGAGGAGCCAATACAGCCCACATTTCACATCTTGTTCTTTACCCAAAGGCTACAACTTCTGCATTTTTGAACAACTGCTTTGTGCTTTTTTTAGTCTCCCAGAGTTGGTCACAAGTTTCAAATTACTACAGATACAAATAGCCGTAGAAATCTTTGGTTTCATTCATAATCAGAATATGATGGATTGATTTATGTCAAGGAAGGATTTATATTTATTAATTTATTACGGTCGATGACCAGCACCAAAAATTTCAAGGAAGAGAATTACAATCAACAAGCAGTAAGCCCTACTTCTTTGTTTCCAGGTGGTTTTATTGTGAGTTCTGCACTGTACATCCTGTAGAAGCTGAATTTTGAAGCTCTTAACCCTGGGACTTCGCTGGTAACTGCTAACCTAAATAATGACAGATGGTGAAGGAGTAAAGTTATAAGAGATGAAGAATGCAAACACAAGAGATGAAGTGGGAAAGTAATCGAGCTTTCAAAATTTTACATAGTTCCTTCATTCTCTCCCAAGTCCAAGGCAGAGGCAAAGTAATATTGAGTAAAATTACTTATAGCATTTTCCAACTTCATTCTGTAAAGGAATTGCTTTATTATTGAAACCTAAACAGAAATTTTACATACATTTAAAATGATTTCTCCCGTTTTAAAATGTTTTATTGATTTTTTTAAAAAATACGGATGCCAAAATAAAGCAGCCCAGACAATATTAAAACAATCTTCAAGTCCATCCTTCCCCTCTGTCTCCCCCACCCTTGTATTGCCTTTCTTAAAGAAAAGATACAAATAAAATTTATTTATGTATCATATCAGGAGCGAACCAAACAGTTGTATGGTATTTTAAAGTTTGAAAACTTGGCGTTCTATTAAATGTCCTTTGACCAGTAGCTGGCCACTTGGAGTGTGTCTGGTGTTGCTATAAGAAGATCCTCCATTGTGCGTGTGGCAGGGCTCAGATTGTATTGTAGTAGGTGGTCTGTAGTTTGCTTACTCCAGAAGCGACCAGAAGTGACTTACAAATAAAATAAAAATACCAAAAAAAGACATTAAAAGTCCACATTTGTTGTGTTTTGGAGCATAAGATCCCCACCGAAGTGGGAAAACATTACAACTAAACAACTATTTTATAAATAAAAAAAAATCTTCACAGCACACACTCTGTCTTTGATGGCTGCTATTTCTTATTGAGCAACTCCATTTAAACTAACATGGGTTAGTATTATAGTTTTGGTAGTTTTATACATCTAAATCAGTGGTTTTCAACCTGTAGGTCCTCAGGTGTTTTGGCCTACAACTCCCAGAAATCCGAGCCAGTTTACCAGCTGTTAGTATTTCTGGGAGTTGAAGGCCAAAACATCTGGAGACCTACAGTTGAGAACCAGTGATCTAAATTGTTTGCTTGTGGGGTTTTAAAAAAAGAAGTGAAAAATATTGAATTAAAAAAAATCTTTTTTTATCAGAAAGAACCCATTTCTAGAAAGTTCAGCTTCTACCAGAGAACAGATTAATCAAATTTCTAAATGATCTGGTCCACTTAAGTCAAACCAATAAATGTGGATTAAGGTTCAATCTGTTTTCCCTCATCCAGTCCATTACAGCTTCCAGGCACCAGTTTAATAAGGGACGGCTTTTTTGGAATTAGGTGGAAAGGAGTAATAGAACATCATACCAGAAGTCTATGTGAGTTTCAAACAAAATGCTAATTGTGCTTAAGTGAAACGTCAGTATTGGCTACAATGCTCTAGGTTGACAAACAGTTTACAAAATGTCTCATCTGTCTTGCTCCTTCCTTGATAACTATGTGGCAAGTTGCAAGGGTTTATAAGAGCAATCTTGATGCGCTCCCTGCTTTTTCACAAGACCTTAGAAGGCATATCTTCCAGAATGTTGCAACTATTTTAGGTCTCGTTTGCAAACCAGTTTTAATTTTAATCAAACACCTTCTAGCTGGATCCACATTTCATGAGACAGGAAGCTCTGAAAATGGAAGACAAGTGGGTGGAAAAAGAGTAAAGTTGAAGTACACTGACAACCACATTAAAACAGCTGTGAAAATCAGGGCCATTATGAATAAGTGGGACCCCTGGTATGTCAGTGGCAAGCCAAAATTTTCTTGTGTATCAGTTCACGCCAATTTGCTTAATGAGGCTTTGAAAATATTTTAATAACAGTACCATATATAACAACCATCATAAACTAGGCATTTGAGTATTGCTAACTAAAGCATATTTATTTAACTGTGTTTATAGTTATTAGGCTGCAGTCCTATTCACTAAGTAAACTGTGACATAGCACAATAGTGGCAAATTTTCATAGTTTTTATAACTTCACTCCCAAAGAGAAGCCATAAAATTCAGGCAGCCATAAGACCATTCTGTTTAGTTTTGTATTCAATAGAAGTAAATATTTTGTAAAGTGAATGAGTCTTAATTACTCGGCTGCGACTAAGCTACTTCCAAATGTTTTGATTTCCAATATGGAATCCTATTGTGCATAATGTAAATACACGTGTTACTAGATCTCCCTTGCCCAGTCTCCCACTACCGTGAGGATTGCAGCTTAACTCAAGAAGGATCAGAGAATTATTAAGGGAAGTGGTAGATTATATCATTATTTCTGCTAATTAAAAAACCAAGGCACTTAAATTAGTCTTAAAGTATGATGAAGCCAGGGCCCGAGAGCTGAAGTGCTGGAACTTGTCAGTTAGTAGGTTAGATGAAGGTATCTGCCACTTCCTAGTTATGTAGCCTATTAAAACATATTTACTTTTTACCAAATAAATATGCATTCAGCTGGGAGGTTTATTGTGTCAAATTGTTTTTACATTATCTCTTGGTAATTATATGTTAGCTATAAATGATTGCATGTAATAGAGACTATTAGGGCTATAAGGCCAGCATAGTGTAGTGACTGGAGCATTTGAGTACAGCTTCGAATCCTGCTCAACCATGGAAACATATCAGGTGACTTTTGGCAAAATATGCTCTCGGTCTCAGAGGAAGGCAAGGCAAATTGTCTGACCAAATAGTACCAGGAAAACTCTGTGATAGGTTCAATGAGAATGTCATAATTTGGAAACAACTTGAAGACATACAATGACAACAATAAAATATCCATCCAGAGATGTAGGATGAAAAAACAAGCAAACAAGATCCAACATTTTGTTCTGCTTATCCTGAATGATTGTGAATCACACAACATTGATGGTTGCTTTTATACAAAATCTGGAAAATAAAATCGCACCCATTTCCAAATTTCTACAGCAAGATTAATTAACAAGAATATGACCGTAAGTTGTTGAAATGTAGCCCTTGAAAAGGCGGCATGATATATATTGGTTATAATAATTTAGAAATTAATAACCACTGTGAAACTACCATTTTCGCTGTCCTTTGATGTTGTCATATATTCTTTCCACCTTAGAGATGGTTCTCATGTGTTTTCCCCATCTCTAGAAGATAAAAATCTTCCAATTAAGGAACTTCCCAATTTTAAACAATAATCAGCACTGTAGAATGTCATGCCCTGGGGCTGAAAATAGCCCCCTCTCTAGCCAGCCACACTATTGACACACAGGGCCATTGTTGGGTGGCATTTGTATAGGAAGCTGAACTGCCTATCTTAAGGCTTACTTAGCTATGCTGACCATTTATGGTCCCACTCTTGTCTTTTGCCCTTCCCACCACTGGAATGCAGATGCCAAGGACTCCTCTGGAATGCATTTCAATCCTTGGGTTGAATGAGGTTTGCCACCCATGTAATAGCAGGATTACCTAGTATATTTTTTTACAATAGTAAAAAGACCAGAGCAGAGGGGAAAATATCTAAGCCTGAGGGCTCTTCACAGTTTCATTGCATACAGAGATGACAAGAAAGATAACTTCCAGAGATGCCCTATGTAATGTAAAAAAAAATAATCAGAAACAGGAAAATCTTGAGGTCATCCAGATGGTTCCTCATGTGTTGGTTCAAGAGTCCTTCTCTGCATCAACATCTGGTGGAGGCTGCTTGTTTGGAGGCTTTTAAGCAGATGCTGGATGGCCATTTGTTAGGGGTGCTTTGAATGTGATTTTCCTGCTTCTTGGCTGGGTGTTGGACTGGATGGCCTACAAGGTCTCTTCCAACTCTATGATTCTATCTCTTTGTTGTTTTCCTAGTTCTTTTCCTAGCTCAATTTGAATGAAATTACCTCCCCACCTCTGCAAAAAGCATCCTCACATGGTTCCTCCGCTGTTCCAGGTGGACATATTGACTCATTGTGTGATGTTGTGTCTACTCATACCCAATTGGTGCCTGCATGACACACAAGCAATGCATGTCCTGTTATAGTAAACAAAAAATTGGACCCTTGTTTTGTAGACTATTTTGTAGATCTAAAACCGGAATACGAATCACACAGCCCTCCAAATGTTAGTGCACTCTAACTCCCAGCATTCCTAATCATTAGGCTGTTGCTGGATAGGGCTGAAAGGAGTTGGGGTTTAACATCATCTGGAGCCATTATTATGCTAAAAGTTAAAGTTCTGATGTTCAGCAAGGTAATACAAATATTCTTCTTTGCTTACAGAAAAACTATTGTTGACCCTGATGATCCACGATGTGCCAGACTTATTCTTACAGGACAAATGGTTACTGTGCCTCCAGAAGAAATGGAATTTGCTAAGCAGGCGTTATTTTCTAGGTCCATATGAACCTACTTTTAATGTGTGTGAGTGTATGTGTAAGTGAGAAACACTTGACTGGAATTGGCCTTGTCAGACACTAGACTTTATCTTGAAATAATCTAATATCCACTGAAAACTACTGTTCCTTCCAGCTGGTGCTAAACCTTTTAAAATCCTTTCCCTCAATGTTTCTTTATCATATTTAAATGAAAATATTTTTAAATAGGCTTTAAGATGGAATGGATGATATCCAGGATTTCTGTTGAGCAGCTTACAAAGGGCCACATATGCCATTAAGGCAGTACTCCATATTCCTCTTATACTACAATAGCCTTATTATTTTCATTTTGCCTCCAGGTGGCATAGTGCTCTGTGTGCTTGTGAAAATTTAGCAAGTAGGGTGTGTTACTGCTTAAAGTAATTCTTCTGGTTTTAAAACCAACTCTGTTGCCAAAGAAATTAGGGACTGTTGGCTTTTATACCTATATTTATCATAAACCTGTTTGGTTACCTTTGTTCTTCCAGGCACCCAGTTATGAGAAAATGGCCTCGTAGTTATGAATGGTTCTTTATGAAAATGAACATTGAACATGTCTGGCTTCAGAACTGGTACGGAGGAATTGCAGCTGTTGGACTGGAGGAATACTTCAAAGCAATTCCCAGTAAAGCATGACTGAACATTTAAATATGGAAATTTTGTTTCCTCATTTACTTTGAAAACAAGCTGTTTTATATGCTACGCTACCCAGTATTTATTTAACTGTAATTTTGTGCAAAGTATTTAAAATTGCCCCATTTTTCTGAATGGGAGTAAAACAACAGTATGAACTTTTTAATGTGAAAATGAACACCAAAAGCAGATCTGAAATTGCAGTAGATTTTACCATTTCAGGCTGGAGATGGATCACTCCAAACATTTTAAATGGTCTAAGTAGTTTTGATTTTTTACATACATTGACAGTATGATGATACTATGTGTTAATAAACATTTCTGAATCGGGACAAAAACTGCAACTCCACAGGAAAAGTTTGGCTTGTAAAGTTAATATTGCAATTTCCAATTTTACCTAAGGGACATAATTGTCTCACAAAATGTGATGCTCTAAAATGGATCAAACATGATCCTGTCCCTCACATTATATATTTTGTTATGAGCATGGGGTTGGCACTTCTCCGTGCTTTTCTTTCCATTTTCAGCTAACCCTTTCTTCTCTTTTTCTACTTCTTTTTGGTTATATTCAAAATTTAGACACATTGGTTAACAAACCAATTTCAAACAACTGGTTAATTATCCTGACTTCTTCCAGTACATCCCAGTTAATATGTAGTAAATAATTAAGCTCATGCATATAACACTGAACTTTTTTTTATCGTGTCAGAAGTGACTTGAGAAATGGCAAGTAGCTTCTGGTGTGAGAGAATTGGTCGTCTGCAGAGACGTTGCCCAGGGGACACCCTGATGTTATACCATCCTGTGGGAGGCTTCTCCCATATCCCCGCATGGAAAGCTGGAGCTGACAGATGGAAGCTCATCCTGTCTCGTGGTTTTGAACCACCGACCTTCAGGTCAGCAGTTCAGCCGGCACAACCGCAGCTCCTAACACTGAACTAATAGTCGATGTTAAGATTCATCTCACTTCCTGTGTTGATATTTTAAATGCCTCTAGAAACATCCTTTTAGGAAGTTAAGGGATCATCAGTATAAATTTGAAACCAAGGAATAAAATAGAAAACGAAACAAAATAAAGGTCGGTAAATATATTTTTCTTCCAGCAGTAAATAAATCATTTGGAACTAGATATTGCAACACTTGTGTCATATCTGTTGCCAGAGGAATGTATGATAGATCTGTTTTGTTTCCTTTTGCTCACTGACAGCCTTTTGAATATTTAAAAAAACTCTTCTGTCATATAGATGTTAGCAAAGATAACATGAATTGTTTGGAACAATACTAAAATGTTGAAATTTAGCACTACAGATATGGACTAAGTGGCCTTTATTATATTCCTTTGGTATTTCTATGTAAAGGAGTATCCAGTTTCATGTATTTTTGTATTTTATGAATCATAATGTAGCTCCCATAAATAAAGAGTTCTACAAAATATCCTAGCAACAAATTCAGTTGTATTTTACTAATGGATTTGGTATGCTCTAGGACAGGGGTCCTCAAACTAAGGCCTGGGGGCCGGATGCGGCCCTCCAAGGTCTTTTACCCGGCCCTCGCTCAGGGTCAACTTAAGTCTGAAATGACTTGAGAGCACACAACAACAACAACAACAACAATCCTATCTCATCAGCCAAAAGCAGGCCCACACTTCCCACTGAAATACTAATAAGTTTATATTTGCTAAAATTGTTCTTCATTTTAATTATTGTATTGTTTTTAAGTGGTTTTGCACCACAAATAAGATACGTGCAGTGTGCATAGGAATTAATTCATTTTTTTCCAAATTATAATCCGGCCCTCCAACAGTTTGGGGGACTGTGACCTGGCCCTCTGTTTAAAAAGTTTGAGGACCCCTGCTCTAGGATTTAGTTAATGAACTTCAGCAAAACCTTTTGACATAGCTATAAGATGGAGAAAAACCTAGATTTTGGGAAGACAGAATAAAATAAGACTGAGATGAAAATATTGCTTGGTTAAAAGAATCAAAGTATTTTTAAGTTTCGTGGAATGAAACATCTTGTGCCATCTTGTGTAGAGTGTTCTATTTATAATGCACAAGGGCAGTCAAATGGCTCCCAGGTGTGTCTCTCCTCAGCCACTGATGGGTTTCAGAGAGAACTCAGACACCATTTAAGTGCCATTTTATGCTTGTGCGGAAGAAAGAGCTGCATGCTGTACGATAACAGTATCCATTTAGCAGCCTATCAGGAGGTGAGAACATAATGCATTTGGGTGCCATCAGGATGCTGATGGGAAGAAGCACCGCAATCAGTTTCTAGACCGGCTGTGTATTTATTTATTTCTCTGTTCACATATTTATGTTTGTTTGCTTTCTTGCTTGCTTGCTTGTTTTATATCTTACCTTTTTCCCAGATATGCTCTGCCAGGTCTCAAAAGATTTTGGTCTACAGTTATCAGTGGATATGTAAATTGCAAAGCACATTACTAACAAAATGCTAAAAGTACAAAAAATAGCAAATACCTAGAATCATAGAGTTGGAAGAGACCACAAGGCCCACCCAGTCCAACCCCCTGCCATGCAGGTACACACACTCAAAGCACCCCCGACAGATGGCCATCCAGCCTCTGCTTAAAATTTCCCAGAGAAGGAGATTCAACCAGACTCCAAGGAAAGTTCCACTGCCAAACAGCTCTTACCATCAAGGAATTCATCCTAATTTTTAGGTGGAATCTATCCCCCTGCAGTTAGAATCCATTACTCTGTGTCTTAGGTCCCATCTACACTGTCCCCCTATCATGTCCCCTCTCAGGCCCCTCTTACATTGCCATAAAATCCAGATTATCAAAGCAGATAATCCACACTATCTGCTTTGAACTGGATTATCTGAGTCTACACTGCCATATACTCCAGTTCAAAGCAGATAATCTGGATTTTATATGGCCGTGTGGAAGGGACCTCAGCCTTCCCTTATCCAAGCTAAGCATAGCCAGCTCCCTAACTTTAAAAAAGACATTTTGATAAAAATTCTGTAATGTCATCTATCCTGCCTCTAAGAACCCTTCTGCACTGTCATATAAAATCCAGATTATCTGCTTTGAACTGGATTATATGGCAATGTAGACTCATATTGTGAAGATAATGTGGATTATCTGCTTTGTTCATATGGATCATATGGCTGTGTAAATCCCGCCCCAAATTGGCATGACACATCCCACAAATACATCTAATGACTTTGCAGGATCTCATCAAGAATTCTGGTTGTTCCAAGTCTTAGATCGATGCTGGGAGGACTAAATCAATGCATTAGTGAGTCATCCAACATCTTACAACTTGGCAGGTGCCTTTCCCAGCATTAAATTAAAGGATCTTCTAGCCCTGTGTCTGAAAAGTGCTGCCCACTTCTGACTTGGGATCTCTATGATGATTCAGAAGTGCTAGACATGTACCAGGGAATGGGACACCTGCCATGTGCTTTGGTTAGGCCATCCACATCTTGAAGTTGCAATCTTGCCAGAAAAGTGCTAATCACAAAGCTGTATAACCTGGCTCTTTTCTTTCCCTTGTCAATCTGAAGAAACTGGCCCTCACGACAATTTCTAATTTAATTTCTATCGAAAACAGCTGACTACAGCATGCCTCATTCTATGATTAATTGTGGTTAGAAGCTACAAGCATTAGCATTAGAAGAAATCAACACATGACCTATGTGATATTTCCTATGGGCATGAAACTATCTTGATATCAGCTGGTCATGCTGGTCGGAATCACAGTGTATCTCCCTATAAACAAATGGCACTCCTAATCAGGACTTTAGTGCATTATATTTTGTACAGGACTGTTTTTATTTGATACCAGATAGAAAACCATCAGAATCGTATAGTAAAAAATTAAGATTACATTTTGTTATGCCCATCACACACCTGCAGAAAAAAAAGATTGTAAAATTTTTCAATGAACTATGAAACAACACTTGGTTAACTGTGTAATGTAATGCTTTTATATGCTGTTATTTAATCAAAGAATGTTCATTGTTTTAATGATAATTTTCTTCATTGGACAAAAATTGAATTGTTTATGTTCTCCATTGACAATGCTTATCATGCTTATCATGTATGTCTTGTAAATATAATAAAAGATTGAAAATTTCAGTCAGAATATTTTGTTGAATACTTTTAACTAAGGCATATTGAAAAAATAAACAAAATTTGTCTTTTGAGACGTTGCAAGATCAAAGAATTTAAGAAGCTCATCTGGGGAGATAGGCATTTTCTACACTGCCGTTTAAAATCCAGATTATCTGCTTTGAACAGTTTAGACTCATAATCCAATTCAATGCAGATAATGTGGATTATCTATCTACTTTGATCATCTGGATTATATGGCAGTGTAGAAGGAGCCATAGAGTCCTTCAGGCAGGCTGGATTCTAGCCATAATGCACTTTATAGGTCATGCCTAACATTTTTGATTTTACTTAGGTAATCGCCAGTAGCTTGTAAAGATGGTGTTCAGCTCCAGTCAGTAGTCCATTCATAACATTTTAAACCAACTAAAATTTTGAACCCTTCCTAAAGGCAACTTCATGTATAATTTGTGGTGCAATTATGTAAGTAGGAGGTTACCACAATATGTGTCACCATAGCAGATTCGCATGCAGATTGTGAAACTAACACAATAAATTCCAAGGTTTACTGTACTCTTGAAAGTAGGTCTCAGTTGAATTCTTTCAAGATTTACTACATTCCCCCCCCCCTTTTTTTTTTTTAGGCAACCATGGATTTATCACAAATGCTGCAATAACATAATGGTTAATTCTGTCTTTACACAAGCCCAAATTATCATGCAACAGCTCATCAGTTTTTCTCTAAAGAAAAACAAAAAGTAGTCATCAATATGTCGTGTCACTGGTCTTAACTCCTGAGGCCCTTTCACACAGCACAATTATAGCACTATGGCTCCGCTTTAAGAAGCATGGTTGCATCATAGGATTTCTTGTGTAGGTCTCCAGTTGATAATTTAAATTTTCCTTCTGTAAGCTAAAAATCCTGGGATTCCGTAAGATGCTACAGTGAAATCATAATACTGTAGTTGTGTAGTCTGAAAGTTGTGGTCATGAAGCTCAGTGGTTGGTCTTGGGTCCATTATTACCTTTTAACATAACCCACCTCACAGGGTTGTTGGATAAAGGAAAGCGGAAGGAGAAGATAATGCTAATCAAGGTGGCAATTGCAACATTACACTTGCCTCAAACAGATAAAGAGTTCTTTCTCCCATGCTGGACATTTCACAGATATAAACTTCACTTGCCTAGTTCCCAACAGACCTCACAACCTCTGAGGATGCCGGCCATAGATGTAGGCAAAATGTCAGGAGAGAATGCTTCTGGATATGGCCATACAGCCCTGAAAATTCACAGCAACCCAGTAATGTATAGGGTTTTGAACAAATCTGATTATACTGTTAGTGAGAATTTCTAGATCTACAGGAGAAATGGGAATATTGTTGTTCCATGTGTTGTTGAACTGCAACCACCATCATTGGTCACCACTAAATATGTTGGGTGGGTGACTGTTGCTCCTGCCAATTTCTTTGGGATTTATGCTCTGTGTTAAAAAGAGAGTCTTTCAACTATGAATGATACGGGAGAGAATGGGTGGAATGTAATGGTCAGATCAGAGGCTATCTCTGTCATATAGGAAGCCAGGGGAAAATAAACCACAAAACCAGCCACATCTAAGCAGATTGCTCCTTAATGATAAATTCCTGACTTAAAAAATCACAAACACCCAAACCCTGCTTCACAAGGCTCTGATCTTGGGTGTTCTTCCTGTCAATAGAAAACCTTTTCACACTAGATGTGGACCTCCGCATTCATGAATTCTGTATCCACCAATTCAGCCATCCCCAGCTTGAAAATAAAACGCACCCCAAAAAATAAATCCCAAAAGCAAACTTTGATTATATAAGGACACCATTTTACTACACCACTATATATAATAATGGGCCCTGATTATTATAATTATAATAAAGGGATCACTTTACAAAATTATAGCATCAAGATTCCACTTCAGGTGCCATGGGTTTATCCTATGAAATCCAAGGGTCTGTAGTTTAGTAAGGCAGGAGAGCTCTCAATCTTCCAAAATTCTCTTTGAACTGCAAATCCCAAGATTCCACAGGATGAAACCATAACAGTTATGGCGGAATTGTAACACTATAATGGGCCCTTGGTATTGGCTAGGGATTGGTTCCAGGATCTCTGTGGATGTTCAAGTCTCATATACGGTGGGGTAGAATAATCATAACAACAACAACAACAACAACAACTTTATTTTTATACCCTGCCTCCATCTCCCCGAAGGACTCGGGGCAGCTTACATAGGGACGACCCCGAAATAAACATGGTTGAAATAAAATATATAGTATTTATTTATCATGTCAGATGCAAATTGAGAATACAGTTATAATGTATAAAAAAACCACAAACGAAGTTAAAAACTTGGCATTATACTAAATTTCCTTTGACCAGAAGCTGGCCACTTTTGAGTGCCAATACCACTGGGGTTGGTTTGAGAACCCTTGTGGATACCAAAATCCGTGGGTGCTCAATTACTATATGTGTGATGTAGTAAAATAGCTCTATATATCAGGCCTTCTGTAGCCACTGGGATTTGGTGCCAGGACCTCCATGGATACCAAAATCCATGGAAGCTGGATTTTGGTATATACAGTGGTATATTATATATAGTGTTGCAGTAAAACAGCTCTATACATTGGGTCTTTGGGCATCCACTGAGGTTTGGTTTCAGTAGATACAAGGGTCCCCTACATAAAATTGTGCATATATAGCATATAAAGAGAGGGGGGAGGGGGGAGAGGGAGGTGTGCTTTGGGGAATATTTTCAAGTTGTGGAACAGGGGTCCTCAAACTATGGCCTATGGGTTGCATCCTGCCCACCAAGGTCATATACCCAACACCTCTAAACTTTAGTCTTGCTGCTATTGCCATTCATGCCCCACTGCCACCCTTTTTGCTCCTTGTAGTGAAATCTACCTTTAAGGCGTCCAGGCCGAAGCCTGAAAGTAAGTGGCTGTCATATTGAAAGACAGGCAGAAGCAGGAGGAGGAGTCAAGCCGACTCCTGATTGGTCAGAGCAATTAGGGGAGGAGTCGGTTGAGAGAGGGAAAGAGGCTGTCAGCTTTTGACAAAGGAGGAGAAGTGTCTTGACATCAGACACAGAAGGAAGGGATTTTTAAGAGAGGAAGCTAAATAGGAGTCTGACAGGGAAAGAAAGCTAAAAAGTGAGCCTTAAGGATAGGGAATAAGTAGCAGACAAGGGCTAGAGTTACTGTATTGAGAGGATCAGTAACAGAAAGACTTGTCTTCTTAGACTTAGGAGAAGTTTAAGAGAGCTTATTGCCCTGTGTGTGATACAGATAGGAGTCTGTTCTCTAAGTGATACTGTTTCTAGGAGTAGAGCAGTGTGTTTAAGGAAACTCACAGTTTTAAAAGCTTTATTGTCAGTGAAACTCCCTGATTTAAATATACTAAGCCTCTACAACTGAATCAAGTTTCTGTACCGCTCATTCTATGAGTAGATATTTGCTTAAAGTTCAATAAACCTTTTCTAGTTCATTTTTAACTGGTGTCAGCTTCAGTTTGTCAATCTCCTCAGAACTAAGTCAAGTCAATAATAGAAATCTCTTTAATGTCCAGTCAGCCAGCGAAGAAGCAATAGAAGAACTAAGGGCAAACACACCTTACCTAAAACACATTCACACTTTTGGTTCCTCAGACCAATAAAAGCTGAGGTGGTGGCAGTCATATCTACCAGAAACATCGGTCATTGATATATTTAACCTATGGTCAGCTGCTAATTGTGTTATACTGGTGGCAGCGGTGGGATTCTTTGTTCCCCCCTGCCTCAGATATCCTTGAATTTTGTTATACTCCTCAAATCTCCTTTCCTGTCTTCATCTCCCCCTCAAAATAGATTGAATCCTCTCTGCTCCATTCTTTGTCCCTCCAAAACGAAGGGAATAGGAGAGAAAGAAAGAGAAAGAAAAGGAGATCGGAAAAAGAGAGGCAGAGGGGGAAGGAAAAAAGGAAGAAGGAGGGAAAGTAGGAAGGAAGGAGGGAGGAAGAAAAGGAGGGAAGGAGGGATGGAGAGGGAAAAGGAAGGAGGGAAGTAAAGAGGGAGGGAGAAGAGGGGAAAGAAAGGAAGGGGAAAAGATGGAGGAGAGGGAAGGAAGGGGAAAAGAGAGGGAGGGAGAAAAGGAATTACAGAAGGCAGCTAGAAAACTGAAGGAAGGAATAAAAGTGAAGAAAGAAAAAAGTAGGTTGGAAACAGAGAGGAAAGGGATTCTTCTGGGGAGGTCCTGCTCTCGGTTCTACCCCCTTCACAGGTGTGACTGATGGAGATGAGAAACAAGGCCTTCTCAGTGGTGGCCCCTCGACTATGGAACTCCCTCCCCAGTGAGATTAGATCGGCTACCTCCCTCCTGGTTTTCAGAAAGAAAGTTAAAACCTGGCTGTGGAGGCAAGCATTTGGGGAGTAGCACAACCACAGCACAATATGCAACCACAAACTTAATACAAACAAATTGGCATGGACTGTGACTGCGAGATTAGGTGCCATGATTTTAATTAGTTATTTAAAAGTATTTATATGCTTTATTTTACCATTTTAACGTTTAATGTTTTATATGTATTTGCTTTTATATTGTTATGTGGCATTGAATTATTGCCCGCAAATGGGGCCTCAGTCCCAAAAACCCAATTTTAAGTTTTTGTCACCATAAATTGGAAATGACTTAAATCCATACAGTAACAACAAAGTACAACACAGTGGGAGTCTACACTGGAGTCATACCTGTGGCTGTCCAACACTGGAAAACGCAAATACCTTGGAGACCAGGCATGTAGCCCGGGGGGGGGGGGGGGGTTGAGGGGCTTCAGCCCCCCCCCCCGAAATTCTCATGGTGGTTTCCGAAAAGGCCTTACTGGTGCATTATTTAAACTGTTATGTTTATTCATATCATGATCTGATCACCATGCTCAATATATCCCATATGCATGGGGGTATTGGGGTAATGATACAAAAGGTTTGCTAGGGTAGACCCTCTTTCACTCAGACTCAGCCCCCCCCCCCCCAAATCAAAATCCTGGCTACGGGCCTGGTGGAGATCTGACATTAACTTTCAAACCAACACTATATGAGAGGCCGCACTGAGACCCTTTCCACATATTATCTGCTTTGAACTGGAATATTCAATATATGGCAGTGTGGACTCAGATAACCCAGTTCAAAGTAAATATTGTGAGATTTCCTGCCTTGATATCCTGGGGACTCTTCCACACAGCCCTATATCCCAGAATATCAAAGCAGACAGTCCCACAATATTTGCTTTGAACTGGGTTATCTGAAGGCCCTTCCACACAACCCTATATCTCAGAATATGAAGGCAGGAAATCCCCCAATATCTGCTTTGAACTGGGTTATCTGAGTCCACACTCAGATAATGTGGAATTTCCTGCCTTGACATTCTGGGTTCTAGGGCTGCATGGAAGGGCCCTCAGTCCACACTGCCATATATTCCAGTTCAAAGCAGATCTTGTGGAGTTTCCTGCCTTGACATGCTGGGTTCTAGGGCTGCATGGAAGGGCCTTGAGAGGGACGGTTTAAGGAGTTCGCAGTTCCCGCGCGCGGCGACAGAGGGCGCTCTTCCCTCCCGCCATTTCTGCGGGAAGAGGCCAGAGGCGGGCGGAGAGCGGAGGAGGAGGCGGCGCGAGGAGCAGGGCCTTGCTCGCCCGCCTTCCCCTCCTCATTCCCGGCGAGGCCCAGCGATGCCATGGTGCTGCCGCAGCCGCTCCCCCTCCGCGCCGCAGGGCTGCTTCTCCTGCTGGCGGTGCCGTGGTGTGGGGCGCTGGTGTGGTACACGGCGTGGGTGAGCACGGCCTACACGGAGCCCGGCACCAACCGCACGGTGTGGGGCCGCGGTGAGAGCGGGCGCTACGGGGCGGGCTCGCCCAAGGTGAGCGCGCAGGGCCTGGTGGGCATCCCGCGCGGCGGGGCGGCCCGCGCCATGGAGGGCTGCGGGCCCGGCGCGAGCTTCCACGTGCCCGGCGCGCGCGGCCCCGCCCCGCCGCCCCACGCCTGGATCGCCCTGCTGGCCCACGGGGGGTGCAGCCTGGCCGAGAAGGTGGGCGCCGCCGCCGGGAAGGGAGCCGCCGCCGTCGTGGTCTACAACGAGCCCCGCTTCGGGAACTCCACCTTCTCCATGCCACACTTGGGTCAGTCAGTGCCTCTTTCTGAAGCCCACGAGCTTGGGCCTTCCCTCCAGGGGTTTTGGACTCGAGCTCCCAGCATTCCTAACAACCTCAGGGGAAAAGGAAGGGGCCTGAGGCTGTGAGGAATGGTGGGAGCTGGAGTCCAAAACCCCTGGAGGGAGGCCCAAGCTGGCCTTTGCCTGTGTTACCCCACAAGTGTTTTAGACACCCATTTTATATTATAGGCCCCATTTTGAGGGGAACCCAGTGACAGTTATGGATATATCAGCAGACTAGCCCTTCCCCAAGGTTGTGGAGGCCAGAAGTGGGTTGTAGTAGGTTTTTCAGGGTGTATGGCCATGTTCTAGAAGCATTTTCTCCTGACGTTTCGCCTGCATCTCTGGTAGGAAGCCTGCCATAGATGCAGGCAAAACTTCAGGAGAGAATGCTTCTAGAACATGGCCATACACCCTGAAAAACCTACAACAAACCTGTGATTCTGGCCATGAAAGCCTTTTATGAAGCCAGAAGTGTTTTTGTTTGCAGCTTTTGTTGGGTTTCACAATACCTGGGTTTGTGCCCATGCAAATAGTGAGGTAATCTTAGAAATGCAATCCGGATCTCAGTATGAATATGAAATTCATTTATGCTTGATATACATTACTCACAGCCTGAAGGAAACTTTATACACAATGTTTTGTGTGTGGTGGACGCACCTTCTTTGGAGGCTTTTAAACAGGCTGGATGGCCATCTGTTGAGTGTGCTTTGAATGCGATTTTCCTGCTTCTTGGCAGGAGGTTGGACTGGATGGCCCATGAGGTCTGTTCCAACTCTATGTTCCAGACAATCAGATTTTACTCAAGAAGTTTGTGTACATTGAACCATCAGAAAAGCAAAAGGGAACTTGTGGACCCTTCCACACAGCCGTGTAACCCAGAATATCAAGGCAGAAAATCTCACAATATCTGCGTTGAACTGAGTGAGATTTTCTGCCTTGATATTCCAGGATATAGGGCCATGTGGAAGGGCCCCGAGTTATTGAAGGTTTTCATGGCCTGAATTACTGGGTTGCTGTGAGTTTTCTGGGCTGTATAGCCATGTTCCAGAGGCATTCTCTCCTGACATTTCATCCACATCTATGCTGAGCATCCTCAGACGGTGTGAAGTCTGTTGGATACTTGGCAAATGAGGTTTATATATCTGTGGAAAGTCCAGGGTGGGAGAAAGAACTCTTGCCTGCTTGAAGCAAGTGTGAATACTACAATTGGCTACCTTAATTAGCACTGAATAGCCTTGTAGCTTCAAAGCCATGTTGCTTCCTGCCTGGGGGAATCCTTTGTTGGGAGATGTCAGCTGGCCCTGATTGTTTCTTGTCTGGAGTTCTCCTGTTTTCAGAGTGTTGTTCTTTATTTACTGTTTTGATTTTAGAGATTTTTTTAAAAAATAATACTGGTAGCCAGATTTTGTTCATTTTCACTGTTTCCTCCTTTTTGTTGAAATTTTCCACATGCTTGTGGATTTCAGTGGCATCTCTGTGTAGTCTGACATGGTGGTCGTTAGAGTGGTCCATCATTTCTGTGTTCTCAAATAATAGGTTGGTTCATCAGTTGCTCTGCTATGACTGGCTTCTCTGGTTGAATTAGTCTGCAGTGCCTTTCATGTTCCTTGATTTGTGATTCAAAAAAGAAGGGAATTCCAGACAATCAGTCAGGGCCAGCTAACACCTACCAACAAAGGATTCCCCCAGGCAGAAAGCATCCAGGCTTTGAAGCTGCAAAGCCATTAAATGCTAATCAAGGTGGCCATTTGCAACTCACACTTGCCTCCAGACAAGAATTTTTTCTCCCACGCTGGGCATTCATAGATATTTAAATCCCACTTGCCTAGTTTCCAACAGACCCCTCAACCTCTGAGAATGCCTGCTGTAGATGTTGGCGAAATGTCAGGAGAGAATACTTCTGGAATATGTACATACAGCTCGGAAAATTCACAAAAGGGAAATTGCCACCTGTGTTAACAATTTTTGAAGATTCTGGATAAAAGTTGCTTTAGTGTTTGCAAGCTCTGTTTTGTGGGGACAGGGATGGATATGCCCTTATCCAAAATACTTGTGGCCAGAAGTGTTTTAAAAATTCATTTGTTTGGAAACCCTATTTTTTGAGAGGTAAACAATGGCAGAAATGGATATACTGGTTAAATATCTCTTATCAGACATGATTGAAGCCGAAAGTGTTTTGAATTTTAGATTTTTGTTGGATTTTAAAATATCTGTATTTGCATACATGTACATAAAGAGATATCATCGACATGGAATCCAGATCTAAATATGAAATCCATTTGTTTTATATCAATCTTATACACAGAGCCTTAAGGTAATGTTAGAACAATATTTTAAATAATTTTGTGCATAAAATGGAAGTCTGTGTACCTTGAACCATCAGAAACAAAAGTGACAGTATCTCAGCCAGCATTTTAGAGGACTCTGAATAAGGGATGCTCAATTTGATATTTGCATACCCATGTTGTGGGAACAATTATGACGAAGGGATATGCTGAAATTTGAGGTGACAGATTCCAGGTTAAGATGAGGAATTGACTGGGAAATCGAGTGGGGAGTTATTTATCTATGAGTTAGTGAAGAAAACAGTGTTTGGCTAAAAGGTGGAATGTATGTTGAGATCAAATGTAAACTACGACTATAGTGGTGTGAGACGTAGGTATGTTTAATATTTGTACATACTGACATCAGCAGATGCCACAGCCGAATGACTTCCTCACATAAAAAGCCAAACATAAAGATACTCTCTCTTTTAGAAAAGTGTAGTTAGGCATCTTCCCTTGTACAGATTGTAGGGTTTCATTTTTAAAACTATAGATTGCAGGTAGTTTTCAGAAGTGACGAATCCCAACTGTAGCCTGGGGTCAATTTTGCAAGTCAGAAAGTTCCTCACAGTCCCTTCCTGTTGTTTCCACAAGCAGGTGATATTAGGCCCCTTCCACACAGCTGAATAAAATCCCATATTTTCTGCTTTGAACTGGATCATATAGCAGTGTGGACTCAGATAACCCAGGGTCCTTCCACACGGCCCAATATCCAAGAATATCAAGGCAGAAAATCCTACAATATCTGCTGTAAACTGCACAGTCAGATAATGTGGGATTTCCTTGATATCCCAGGATATAGGAATATGGACTCAGTTCAAATTAGCTATTGTGGGATTTTCAGCTTTGATATTCTGGGTTATATAGCTGTGTGGAAGAGCCCTTGGTGACTTGCAAGTTGCCAACAGCCAGGATGACTCAACAGCCTATTGTTAAAATGATGCACCATGTGTCACTGTCAGTCCCCTTTTAATTTTACCACTGTTGTAAGACATTGCTACATGTTTGTGATAACAAATTACATAAATTAACTATGGACCCTTCCACAGAGCCATGCAACTCAATATCAAGACAGAGAATCACACAATATCTGCTTTGAACTGGGTTATCTGAGTCCACACTGTAATATATCCCAGTTAAAAGCAGATAATGTGGGATTTTATTCAGCTGTGTGTGAAGGGGCCCTGTCCTAGTGAGTAAGGAAACTTGTATCTTAGGGCCTTTCTACACAGCCATATAACGCAGAATATCAAGGCAGAAAATTCCACAGTATCTGCTTTGAGCTGGGTTATCTGAGTCCACACTGCCATATATTCCAGTTCAAAGCAGATAATATGGATTTTATTCAGCTTTGTGGAAGGGGCCTTTGAGTAGTCTCATGGAATTGATGGCAACTTCCTAAATTTACATTTATTTAAGTTCCATTGATTCAGTGCATCTATTTGGAAATAACAATTGGAATCAGCCTAAAGGACTTCCACCTGCCTGCCCTGCTTTTTATGCCATTTAATTTTACTGAGTGATCCCATGTTCTGATATTATGACTGGGGAAAAACTATCGCTCCATGCTGTATGTAGCTTTTATTTTACTGTGTCATCATCATCGTCATCATCATTATTATAGAGAAAGAAGAACTAAAAAGCACCACACAGGAAAGTGGGGTTTTTTTTCTTGAGCACATAAACAGGAGATGCTTTCAGTGTCACAGCAAATGATCTGCGACCCAAACTATTGATCTGCGACCCAGAGAGCTACTGGGCATCGAGGCAGCATCCTTGTTTGAGGTGTGATTATGTTTACTGTGTGACTAAGAAAAGAAAGCTGCTGGATGGGAGGCCTGTAGAGCCCTGCTGTTTTAATAAAAGGATGATGCTGTACAACTATATGTTAATTACGGGAAGAATAAGTGACTTGTTTTGAATTATTAGAAAAATATGCTTATGAATGGAGTATCTGTAAGAAACCTAATGTTCTGAAGTACATTGATCGCACTCTGCCTTAAGCCTTCCCTGGCTTAAAACCCCTGAGTTCTTCTTCCTTATTCTTTTGTTGAGTTGAGTCCTGGCTGTTTTTGTGTGTTTGTGTCCTGAAACTTAGCAATCCATTTTAAAATGGCTGCAAGGCTTCATAGCATGATATGTTTGGGAAGTTAAACAGAGTTAAACAGGGTTAGTAGTCTGATGGGAGATCACCAAGGGATACCATGTGTTGCAAGCTATATTTCAGAGGAAAGAACTAGCAAAACCACTTTGATTAAGAAAATCCAGTGAATTCTTTGCCTAAGAAAATTTAGTGAAATAAATGGGGTTGCAGTAAAAATTTAAAAATCATTATTCTTGCATTATTTTAAATTATATTAAAATAACAGGTCATTTTATTGTGAATGTGTTGGCATTTGCATGAATAGTTAAGGGTATACAGCATGGTTGTTTTTTTGTTTGTTTGTTTGTTTGTTTTTTGTCGTGTCAAGAGTGACTTCAGAAACTGCAAATTGCTTCTGGTGTGAGATAATTGGCCGTCTGCAAGGATGTTGCCCAGGGGATGCCCAGATGATTTGATGGTTTTATCATCCTTATGTTTACTGTGTGACTAAGAAAGGAAAGCTGCATGAGGAGCTGGAGCTGATAGAGGGAGCTCATCCGCCTCTCCCCGGATTTGAACCTGCGACCTGTCGGTCTTCAGTTCTGCCGGCACAGGGGTTTAACCGGGGCTCCATGCAGCATGGTATGAACGTAGGAATAAGACTTAGGGGACCAGAGTTCAGATTTTCACCTGGCCATGGAAGGCAACTTTGCGCAAGTCATATCCTCTCAGCTTCAGAAGAAGGCAAAGACAGCCTCCCTCTGAACACTTCTTACCAAGAAAACCATGTGGTTAGTTTACCTGTTCCACAGGTTGGAAACTGTCTGTACACAGCAACAGTACAGATACGAAAGTCACACATCCAGATACCATGAGTAGAGTGTATTGACACCCACTTCATTATTTCCTTCTTGGTGTCCAAGTAAAAAGTATACTCATGTAATTCTACTAGGATTCTTGTATTTGAGAAATAAAAGAGGCTGTGAAGTTCAAGAGTTCACAAAGCACAGCATATAGAAATAAACTATAGGACAAATGATAAATGCAGTTAAATCACAGCCTGCTTCATTTTCTCTTATTAAAAAAACACACACACGCAGAGTTGTTTTTGCCGCCTTGTATTTCCTGACTAGGTCAGTGGAACCTTTACTTAGATGTTATATGCTCTCAGGCCTCTTAAATACATAGCATCTTGCAGAATAATAACATACAATTATTTGAATTCTTATGCTTACTGTTTTCTATTTTGCCAAGATAAAATGAAGAACTGGTAACCAAAATTTAAGAAATTTTTCAGGAGAATACAGATTATATAAAGGAATCATTATTATGTATCTCTTTATAGCAGGTTTGACAGTAAGATCTTATATTTTTCCTTTAAATTTCTTGTCATGTCAGCAATGGAAGAAAAAGCAGCATGCATACATTTAATTCTATCAGTATACTTGGAATTACATTCTGATTGTTTTCAACTTTCTGTTCGTATGAATGTTTTCAGAATGATTCTTAATCTTCAGCTAAATTCTCACATATTTAAGAAGCTTATTTTGCATTTTCTTGTTTGGATTTACTTGGATGTGTGAGTTTGCTGTAATAGCAGCACAACAGAGATTTATTAGAGAGAAAAATGCTAATTAAAGAAAAAAATCAAGATATTTCCTAACAAGAATTCTCATGTCAAAAAATTCCGTGAATCTTGCTAATCCTCATAGAGCAGAGGCCTCATAAAATAATGGGTCAGATGGTTGGTTCTGTAAGAGGCAATGAGGAGACAATGGCCCATTTCCTGTTTTCAGTCTTACCTGCATATACATATTGAGGGCCATTCCACACAGCCATATGACCCAGAATTTCAAGGCAGAAAATCCCACAATATCTGCTTTGAACTGGGATATCTGAGTCCACACTGCCCTATATTCCAGTTCAGAGCAGATGATCGGGACCAATTAACAGGGTGCCAATCAATTTATGACATGTTTCAGAATTTCCATGGCATTTAGGGTGCAAACCTTGTAGGATTAATGCAGTTTGACATCACTTTAACTGCCATTTCTCAATGCAATGGAATTATGGGAGTTGCAGTTTGGTGAGGCCCATCATTCTTTGCCAGGGAAGGCTAAAGACTTTGTAAAACTACACCTGACACTAACCCTATGGTTACTCTCAGGGTGTCTCTTTTTGTTCTGACATCACTTAAAATACGGGCAAGATTAATTTCTGATATTGCAGTCGACTGTTGTGGGGATACTTTTACCTAATCATGGTGTGGTTGTTTATATCGAAAGTGTTTCTTACTTAAGTTTTAATAATACTGAATATTACTTGGTTTTTAACTATGCAAGAACTATGTCATATAGTATTTCATGTAGTATTTTAATGATGTATTTCATATTGTATTTAATAATATGGTTTTTATGTATTTGTTTGTTTGTTTGTCCTGTGAAAGACCTATGGTCTAAGCCAGGGATCCTCAAACTAAGGCCCAAGGGCCGAATATGGCCTTCCAAGGTCCTTTACCCGGCCCTTGCTCAGGGTCAACCTAAGTCTGAAACGACTTGAAAGCACACAACAACAACAACAATAATCCTATCTCATCAGCCAAAAGCAGGTCCACACTTCCCACTGAAATGCTAATAAGTTTATATTTGTTAAAATTGTTCCTCATTTTATTGTTTTTAAGTGTTTTTTGCACTACAAATAAGATATGTGTAGTGGGCATAAGAATTCATTCATGCTTTTTTCAAATTATAATCTGGCCCTCCAACAGTTTGTGGGACTCTGACCTGGCCCTCCATTTAAAAAGTTTGAGGACCCCTGGTCTAAGCACTAAATAAATTTACTTGTAAAACTCCAGTTCCCAGGATTTCATAGCATGAAGCCATAGAAGTTAAAGTGGTGTCAAATTGCCTTAATTCTACATTGTAAATGCACCCTTGGATTCTAAGGCCCCAAATACACAGCCATATAAAATCCATATTATCTGCTTTGAACTGGATTTTATGGCAGCATAGATTCAATATAATTCAGTTCAAATCAGATAGTCGAGATTATCTTCTTTGATAATCTGGATTATATGACAGTGTAGATCAAGCCTAAGATCATTTTTAAAAGAGTTTACATGATTTTCCTCCTTCATTGAAGTACTATAGACAAAAGTGATATTTCTTGAAGGCATGTTTACTTTTCTTCTCCTATTTCTCCCTTATCTCCAAGTCACATACTTAGGATCAAGAGATCTTAGGGCAAAAATAGACAAAAGTAGCTCTTATTTATGCGTGTATATGCCTTCAAGTCACCTGTCAACTTATGAAAACCCATGCATTTCATAGGGTTTTCTTAGGCAAGGTGGTTTTCTCAGTTTCTTCCTCTGAAATATAGCTACAGCATCTGGTATTCAGTGGGTATTTTCCACCTAGGTAATAACCAGGACTGACCCTGTGAGCTTACAAGATCAGACAGAATCTGGTGCTTTTAGCGTATTTAGTCTTTAGCTCTTCTTATTTATTTTTTTTTTTGCTAAACTTCTTGTAAAGTGACCTGGATTTGTAAAAAGAGCCAACTTGATTTATATCTTTTTCTCCTTCTACAGGTACTAGCAATACAGTTGTAATTATGGTTGGCTACCCAAAGGGAATGGAAATCTTGGAGCCAGTGCGAAGAGGAATTCCAGTAAAAATGACTATTGGTGTTGGTAAACAACATGTACAAGAATATATCAGTGGACAGTCAGTTGTCTTTGTGGCAATTGCATTTATCACCATGATGATTATATCTTTAGCGTGGCTTATATTTTTTTATATACAACGCTTCCTCTATGCTGGATCACATTTTAGAAACCAGGTAATTATCAGTGATGATTCTCTTTTCTGTCTGTGAAATATATTTGCTTACTAGCAAACAAATATTAAATAAATTCATAATTGAAATGTTGTATGGCAACCTTTTAATCTTCTTGCCTCACCTATAAATGCAACTTAACCTGAATATGTTTCTTAACAGGAACTTTTATGCTGCCTCTTAGTATCTGGTGTAACTTGTTTCCAGAACTAGACATGCCTGAATTGCTCCTACCATCCAAATTAGTGTTTTGAACTAGAACTGAGGCTGTCTTCAGGTGATGAAATTAATTGTTTTAATTGTACACCTTTGCCTCTTACAGAGACATAACAAAGTTAGAATGCCCACTTAGTTCTCCACCAACTGTACTAGAAGTCTGTGGTTAAAAACAAACAGCCTAGTTCAAATCAGTAAAGAAAATCAACCCTTGGTATTTCATCCACATTTTTCTTCCTAATGAAACTTTTTGGACAAGAGGTTCAATGGAAAAGCTATATCTGTTTAACAAGCCTTCTCAGCTATCCTTGCCCCCATTTTCTTGTTTCACAATGTGATGCTTTTGAAATTTTCTTTTTTTTTTCCATGTCAGCCTGAATGTGGTGTTCTTTCCCTATATTTCTTTACTTATTCCCATCTTGTTCTTACAGTATGTGGTAGATACGAATTCCAACCAAGTTGATTACTCCCTTTTCACTTCCTGTTGCTGTTTTCTCTTGAAAATTCTGCTGCAATGTTGGCATTACAAAGAGTGATATTATCTCTGTCTGTGTTGGAGGTTTCATTGCCCCAGGCGCCTTACAGTTTAGATCAGGACTGAGTTCAAATTACAGTTTGAATGCCTTTCTAAAGCAGCTTTCAAACTTGACTTCCTTAATGCAAATTATGTTGTTCTTACTTGGTGCTGAATAGCTAGCAAAGACACTGGATACTCTAAGACCTGAACTTTTGTATGTACTCTTATTCATCTAACAAAGGGTTGGCTCCTTGAAAGGCCTAGTGCCTTCCATTGAAATCTCTAGATGATAATAAAAATAATAAAGTTTCTTTATATCCCACCTCCATCTCCCAAAAAGGAACTCAGGGCGGCTTACAAGGCACCACAAATGCAGTATAAACATCAACAGTACATGAGTATAGAAACAGCATCACATAAAAGTTATAAACAACCACTATCAACACATAAAATAAAATACACATTTTAAAAACACTTACCATCAATGGTTAAAACTAGCTACCATCAATACACAAAGTCCCAGAGTGTCAACCTCATATGGGCCAATTTCAGCATACTCAAGGCCAAAGGCCTGCTTAAAAAATCATGTTTTTAGGCTAGAACAGAAGGATTCAAGGGTGGGGGCTAACCTAATCTCTTGAAAGGGTATTCCAGAGCCAGAGAGCCACTACAGAGAAGGTCTTTCTCATTCCAACCAACCGCACTTGAGAAGGTGGTGAAACCGAGAGAAGGGCTTCCCCTGCCGATCTCAAAGCCTACGCCAGTTCATAGAAAGAGATGTGGTCTCAAAGATAGGCTGGACACGAAACATATAGGGCTTTGTAGGTAATAACCTGCACCTTGAATTGAGCCTGGAAAATTGTCAGAAGACAGTGAAGCTGCTTTAATAGAGCCTAGTATGTTCCCTCTAGCTAGCTCCAGAAGTTATTTATGTTGATGTTGTCAATTTACATGATCATTTGAGAAAGGTTTTAAGCTTACTAAAAGTTGTAGCAATATAAGATAACTATGCCTTGCATAGGAGAAACAATAATAAAATTATCCTTTTAGTCTTTACTGTTTTGTAAGGTTTCAAATATACAAAGCTAAGAGCACTTGACAGGTTTTCTTAGCCATGTAATAAAAGTGTAGGATCAGAGAGAACTTAAGAAAATGAGTTATTGGTTTCATTTCATTATTAGTATAAACTGGTGGACTGGTTATCTATCAGGTTCACATTTTTGATAGTGTAAAACTATTTGATTCAGAAAAATTATTGATCTCGTTATATGAATTGTTGTGCATCTATATGCAGTGTAAATAGAAGTACGACAAATCTTTGGCATCCTTCACTACAGCATTGCTAAGTAGATCACTCACTGGCCTTTCTAAAATTCTCAGTACTTCAGATTTCTCTTCACAATATATCATTGAATTTTGCATTGCTAACCTAAATTACTTTTTTTAAGAGCCACAGAGAAGAAACAATGAAAGCAATCGGCCATCTGTCACTGCATATTGTTAAGCCAGAAGATAAGGTAATTTTGCCATACTAATGTTGAGTGAAAAGCTTTTTGTCGGTGTGTGTGTGAGAAAGTCTGCCTTAGTCTGTTGACTTATGGTGACCTCATGAATTTGTTTTCTGAAACAAGGAATACTCCGAGGTGGCTTTGCCAGTTCCTTCCTTCATTGCTACAGTTTTACAAAATGAAAGGAATTGGACTTGTTGTTACAGTTGAGATATGTATACAGAGAGAAATTGCTGCAGTTTATTACATATTAAAATGGCAAAGCATTCAAAGTAGCATATGAATAGAAATTCCCAAAGGCATATGTCAGACGTGTTTAGAAAGTAAGGGTCATCTTAAAAAACATGAACTGGGAATAACAGTGAATGTGCCCATGTTTGGAGGAATACCTAAATTGTCTTTTCTAAAACCTTGCCCTTTTAGTCCTAATAGAATTTGTATATTTAAGTCTGTCTTCTGGATCTTCCATTGTTCATGCTGGACTTCATCAAAAAAAGTCACAATCTTAGATTGTGAGTTATATACTGTACAGTAAATGCCTTGATTAATTAAACAAAAAGCTTTATTTTCCTCAGCATGTTCCTATACATAGCACAACTTCAGAATCCTTCACATTTGCGGGTTTAACTTTTGCAAATTTGATTCAGATATTTTCTCTAGGAATCTCTAGATCTTCCAATGTGGAAGTTGGCCATATAGTCATCCTGGAGGACCTAGAGCAGTGGCTCTCAGCCTGTGGGTCCCCAGGTGTTTTGGCCTACAACTCCTAGAAATCCCAGTTTACCAGCTGTTAGGATTTCTGGGAGTTGAAGGCTAAAACATCTGGGGACCCACAGGTTGAGAACCTCTGACCTAGAGAAAAACACATCTCTAGGAATCTTTAGGTCTTCCAGTACAGTTCTGTGGTCAGTGTCCGGCATAGAGGTATTCTCTCAGATTTATAAAAAAAATGTGTTTTTAATGTGCAGTTTTGCCACTTTCATGAGAATCATGTGTTCCTAATCCCAGCAAATGTGGAGGGCTAACAGTAGAGCCTTTTGATGCAACTCCAGCTCCCAAACTGCCTTTCGTTTCTATTACATCTGTCACACTTCCATAGAAGCTCTGTTTCAGTTTTTTCTTTGGCAAATTGTGCTTGAAGTTTTTCTTCTTTATTGTTTCCTTTCTTCCTCTTTTTTCCCTTTCTTTACTGTTTTATTTTACAAATTAACCTCCCAGACGCACGCATTTGTCCTCTTGCAGTCATCTGTTATGGTGGCGGCTGCTTGTTTGGAGGCTTTTAAACAGAGGCTGGATGGCCATATGTTGGGGTTGCTTTGAATGCAATTTTCCCTGTTTTTGGCATGGGGTTGCACTCAATGGCCCAAGAGGTCTCTTCCAACTCTATGATTCTATTATTTCTTCATAAATGTTTCTTTGGCAATCTAAATGAAAACTTTAACTGTTTTTTATCAAACAATTAGATGCAGAGATTTAGATTCTTAAACTATAATAATCTTGTAAATTGGAATTTACTTTTAACTTATATTAAGGATACTGTATTTTTTGATGTCGTGCTTAAATTAGGCTTTTTTTTTAAAGGGTTTGGATGTCAATGCAGAAAATTGTGCTGTGTGCATTGAAAACTATAAAACAAAAGATATAGTTCGAATCCTGCCTTGCAAGTAAGCATATTAAAACTGTGAGAACTATTTTGCTTCAGTTGTTTTTCTTTAGAAATATTTAATGAATTGCATAAAACTATTCTGCCTTCAGTATATTTAGACTGAAGAATTGCAGTGTACAGTCAATATTCTCTGCTTTATGGTTTATCCAAGTATGCCAGAGTATATACATGTGTGTTTGTTTTGTATTGTACTGGTCATGATGAGATGTTTGTATAGTTCTTTGAATGTTGACCTTCAATATTCTAAACATAAGCTATTGTAAAACTCTTTTCTTTATTCAGTGAAAATGATTTTGTTAGAGGCAAAATGTTATTAGTAGTGAATGAGCTACTTAGTCGATTTGGAGAAAACTGTACAGAAATTACAAACAAGATAGTTCTGTAGGTTTGTTCATAAGTTGAATTTGTATGTAAATCAGAACAGGTACATTTCTAAAGTGTAACTCCACACACACACACAAGTTTTGGATAGCATAGGGAAGGGTTAACACCTCTGTGGCATTTATTTTGCTATCTGCACCCCTGTTCAGAAAATTTCACCTCACTTTTGTCCCTATGATAATTTGAAACATGCGGGGTGAGCTCCTGCTGTTAGGCCCAGTTTCTGCCAACTTAGCAGTTTGCAAACATGCAAATGTGAGTAGATCAATAGGTACCATTCTGATGGGAAGGTAACAGGGCCCCATGCAGTCATGCTGACCACAAGACCTTGGAGATACATATGGACAACACTGGCTCTTTGGAGATGAGCAACACTCCCCCCCTCCCCCCACAAGTTGGACATGACTAGATTTAATGTCAGAGGAAACCTTTACCTATGTTGCTTTGCTAGCTTAGCGTTACTATGCTTTGAATATCCTTCCTATTATCTAATCCTATCATTATCACTTTTTGTAGTTTCGTTAAGTCGCATTGCATAAAAGCAAGTTCATTACTAGAAGTGTTCTTGTACTTACTTTTAAAAGTACTGTCTCTTTTTCAGACATGTATTCCATAGGCATTGTATTGATCCCTGGTTATTGGAGCACAGAACATGTCCAATGTGCAAACTAGATGTCATCAAAGCTTTAGGATATTGGGTATGTTGTGAAAATGCATATATTGTAATTAAATCTGAGAGCAAGTGCTAGTTAGCTGGTATAGTGCTAATAGATGTGCCACTCCTAAGCATTCTGAGTCCCTGGTGTTGTTTTTTTCAAGAGAAAGGCTTAGGAAAGGTGGCTAGCTTACAATTCAAATGGATTCAGACCTGCCAAATTTTTATGGTGGGAAGTATTCCTTGTGTTTCTTCAATGAAAATTTAAATATTTATATAAAAATTGACAGTGGCAACCACCCAACAAAATATAAACCATTGGCTATAAAACACCTGTTCATCATCCACTATAAAATCTTTTTTGTAGCTGCACTTTTTTTCTGGGTTATCTTCCAAAGGAATTAGGGTGGATCTACCAAAGGAATTAGGGTGGATCTGCTTGGTTTCTGTTCCAGGACACAACCCTACCCTCACCCCCGCCCGTGGATACCAAAATCTGTGGATACTCATGTTACACTATACAGTGGCATTGTAAAATGATGTGCCTTATAGGAAATGATGTGCCTAATTTGAAAAAGAAGTAACCATGAGTTACTTTTTGGATTTTTTTTTAAAAAAAATCTAGCTGTGGGTGGTGGAATCTATAGATGCAGTATCCATTATGTAGAGGGCCCTCTATACTCATAGAACATTTTTAAAACCCTAAACCTTGTGGTTTTCCTCTTAACATATTTATTTAGACAAATAACATGGTTATATCCTTGATGAAATCAGTCACTTTAGAATGTATGTAAGAATTTTCTGGACTGTGTTTTCAAAGGCTTTCATGGCCAGAACTGGGTTGCTGTGAGTTTTCTGGGCTGTATGGCCATGTTCCAGAAGATGTGGGTCTAATGTCAGGAGAGAATGCTTCTGGAACATAACCATACAGCCAGGAAAAGTCACAGCAATTCAATGTTATGTACTCTAGTTCATTGCCTAATAGTCACCATCAGCCCCTTCCCCCTTTTGGGTCCCAGTTTTGGTATTTTAGGATTTTTTCACATACTACTTGCACCTTTAGTTCACAGGTGTGACTATTATGCAAGATTGGCCGCATGATTGCCTCTAGCTTTGGAGTGAAGATGTGATTGAGCAGGTGAATTTGACCATCAGATCCAGCACCTGTAGCTCAGAAAGGAGAGGCTACCAAGCGGGTGAACTTGCCCATCTGCCAGCCTTTCCCTTCCGAGCTACAGAGGTTAGAGTAGTTTGGAGAGAAGAGGCGGGGAGTGCAACCATTATGCAGTGAAATATTATATTCGTTTGTTTTACATAATTTTTCTCCCACCTTTCTCCTGGTATAGGGACTGAAGGTAGCCAGCATGGAATATAAACAATGCTAATTAAAACAATATGAATGCATTAAAATCTAAATGTGACACTTAAAACACAATTAAACAATTTGGGCTATTTCATTATTTAATAAGATGGCCCTCCGTGAGTGATATAGTTCTGGTTCATGATAAATTGGCTTAGGAAGTTAGAACAAGTTTAAACAAACATAAAAAATCCCTTTTGAATCTCATAGACCCCACCCACTCCTGCCTAGTGGAATCAGTAAAATAAAAGGACTATAAGAAAGATATTAACTAAGAAATTGAATGCAGAAGAAAAAAGATTGGAATTCTCAAAAAGAGATCCCCAGTGGTTCCCAACCTGTGGGTCCCCAGGTGTTTTGGCCAGTAACTCCCAGTTTACCAGCTGTTAGGATTTCTGGGAGTTGAAAACCAAAACACCTGGGGACCCACAGGTTAGGAACCACTGCCCTAAGGACTAGAAGCAGTGATGGCACTGAGATATAGAACACAAAGCTAGCTATTACAGTATTCAATAAATGTTTCGTGCCACTGCTGGGATGGAACTAAACCTCTCCTGGTAATGAGATTATTGGAGAGAGTAGACCTACCTCCCCTAATTTTTCTTTTAATTGCAGAATTACTGACATCTAATTACTAATCATACAATTAGTATAACTGGGAAGCTTTTTTACCAGTCAGGCATATTGTGTTATGCTCCATTCCTCATTCTTGACCATACAAAAATTAAGAAAGAAGTCAGGGACCACCAAACGCAACGCCCAGAAATGAATCAAAGAACATGAAAGGCACTGCAGACTACTTCATCCAGATAAGTCAGCCATAGCGGAGCACCTAATGAACCAACCTGGACATAGCATATTATTTAAGAACACAGAAATTCTGGACCAGTCTAGCACTTACCAAGTCAGGCTACCAGAGAAGCCATTTAAATCCACAAGTATGTGGACAATTTCAACAGAATGGGAAAAAAACCAGATGAAAATGAACAAAATCTGGCTTCCAGTATTAAAAATTCTAAAATTATAACAGGAAATAAAGAACAAAACTCAAATACAGGGGAACTCCAGACAAGAAACAATCAGGAACAACTAATCACCTCTCAACAAAGAATTCCCTCAGGCAGTAACAAGGGACACCTAAAAACTGCCAGGTCATCAAATGCTAATAAAGGTAGCCAATTAAAACACTCACACCTAGCTCCAACAGACAAGAGTTCTTTCTTCCACCCTGGACTTTCCACAGATATATAATCCCAATTTTCCTAGTTTCCAACAGACCTCACAACCTCTGAGGATGTCTGCCATAGATGCGGGCAAAATGTCAGGAGAGAATGTTTCTAGAACATGGCCATACAGCCCGAAAAACCTACAGTAACCCAGAAAATTATAGTTTTCATGAAATACTTTGTTTCTTTTGAGAAATCATTTTAGTCTCTTCAGTCCTCTTTCCAATATCTATTATGGCTATTCATGCTGCTTTTTTCAACTTGAAAGGGAGAACCCAAAGAAGATGCAGTGCCTGAATCTGTAAGTGGTAGCATATCAGCTGAGAGTTGGAGTATGGTTATACAAGAAGAGGACAGAAATGAATCAAGTGAAATATCAGCATCTTCTACTGATGAATCCGTAATAAATATAAGAAGTTTAAAAGAGGAGGCGGGTGAAACAACAGCTTTACTTGGTATGTAACCCTGTAGCATTTTTTTTCTAGAAAAATGAAACTTTGGGGAAACAGAACTTCAGTTTTAAAATGTTAGTAGTGGATACACTGAAATGTTGTTGTTTTTTTACTCTAATTGCTAAGGAGTTTAGCATTAGAATTTTTTTTCACTCTAATGTTCAGGAGATCAAATAAGCTTCCAATATCTCATTTCCAGTATACAGCACTGGTCCAGACATGGATCATTTGACTTCTTTAATGTATTAACTTCTTTAACTTATTAACAAATTTGGAGCTTTAGACCTATGAACGTATGATGATTATGTCATTTTGTCAACATAAATGGTGTGCTTGTGGCTGCTGTATCTGAGGAAACGGGGGAGGGGGTCCAATACATGTTTTGGTTTCACAATTATTATTGTAACATGTCTAAGGACCACAAGAACAGATGCATTACTGCTTATACAACCAGAAAATCTATTTGAACTCTGATAAAGTTTTAAGCATATAAAATTCTAAAGACTTAAAAACTATATTTAATAGGACATGACTTTGGCATGATAGGCCCTCACACTGAGAATGGGAGAAATTGTGAGGAACTTGGAAATAAATTCCAGATAAAACTTTAAATGTACTCCTGGATAATGTTTTCTTCCTTGCCACAGGTCTGAATGTCTCAGGTTTCAATTTTCTTTCATTATAATGTGTTTCCTTCTAATTTGAATATTAGTCATAAGCCTAACTGGAATTCTCTTCACAGTGCAAATTATGTCTATCTTAGAGCTGTCATAAGTAGGTTCCCAATTAATTTTTCTTGCACTGTGTAAATATGTATTAGTTATAATCCACATAATAATATATAATAGTGGAATATTAACGTTCATATTTTTATTTTATTTTTAGAAACAACTTGTAAAGATAATCCACATGAAGAACACCTGTCTAGTGGAAATACTTAGTGAAAGCTTGACTTGGACTAAAAGCTGAAGATTTATTTTATTGTTATTTATATGGTATGGACTAGTGCCTGGCCTAAGAAATGTATTAATTTCCTAATTCTATTTAAAAAGGGCTGAAAACTAAGTATTCTGTACCCTATACAAAATATCATAATCCTATTCTGATTCTTATCGAAGAACGGGAGCTGAACCAGACTGAGTGGGGAGATGAAAGAAGGAAAATATATACAAATACATAGGTTTTTAATGTTTCCTGACACGTATTGAGCTTACTGCTCTTTTCTACAGTTGCTTTGAAACACTTGTAATTTTTTTTAAAAAGGATTTTGTTTCTTTGTTTTTGTGGGTATAGAAACCCATATGAAGGGAACCTGGTTTGTCATGAAAATAGGAAAGTTTCCCTGAGAAAGAACAAATTTCTGTAGAGTATTTAAAAAGACCATTCCTGGAAGAAGTACACTGTTTAACAAACAGACAATATTTATATTATATTGTATCACATGTAGCATATATGTACCACTGGTGGTCTTTTTAAAAAGTGTATTGAATATATATAGACCTCTTCAAACATGGACTTGCAAGTTTTTGCATTATTCTTGCTGAAGAAAACCAATGATTCTTAAATTGCCTTCCTTTAAAAAGTTTTTAGCTTGCATTATCCTATCCATTTGGATATTTTATGGTCAAAATGCGCACATTAATGCCTAGGGTAACATAAAAGAGAAAACATTCACTATGGAATACAATACCAGTTAATGGCACATAATTTAACTTTAGGACTCTTAAACCAATCTTCTGACTTACCCTAGTTGCTTCCTCTGAATATTTCAATATTCGCATTTCAGATGTTTGTAAAGTGAAAATTCTTTACTTTTTGTTAAATCAAGACTTATTAAAAGCCTGTTAGAGATGTGCCCAACTAATTAGTTTACGACTGGGCTAGATCAATCGCATAGTGCCTTTATGAAGCAGTGGAAAAGCACTGAGCCTGAATGATACTAAATAAGTGTCATTGCACTGGTTAAACTTTACTACTTCTTTTGGGTAATTCTGTACAAGAGGTTCTAGGAAAATGATGAATTGTGTATTTATAGTTTTATTAAATGTTGCATTTTTTTAAGCATTCCAGTGTTATTATAAATGAATGTATGGGGTTGGTAAGTTAACTTTGACAACATGTTTTAAGGCTAAACATTTGATAAAGCACTTGAAATGCCTGAGAAAATATGCAATCTGCTGCTTAAAATGGTGAAGTATGTTCCAAGACAAGATCTTCCCAAATATGGAATGGTTCATATGTGAGGTGGATGTCTTCCTCTTTCCAAAATACTCTGAAGAACTCTTCCTGCCTTCTCTGAGCAGAGGGGCCTTTGCTGTCAACATTTTGTCAGCATTTTATGGCAGGACTACGTCATGTCTTCAAGAAAGAATTTGCTGTAAAATGATTGAGCAACTTGCCATTTCTTCAGAAAATACCTGTTGCTGAACGTTTAGTAACTATCCTTTATATTACAAAAAGTAGAGTTCTACTTGTAGTTTGTACAACATAATAACTGGCTTAGTATCAAGGAGGTTGGCTGGATGCTGTTGTCTTGAAAGTTTCCAGACTCTTTTTGACATTATCAGTGCAGCACTCGACTTGGAGAAAGAGTATGGTGAGTATTAAACTTTTATAATTGGAATACGTTAGATTGTGTAAGGCATCCTATGCTTAACCTTTATTCCTGTCTTTTTTTAAGAATTGAGGGAGCAACAGATAAAATCTAGCAGAGGAAATTCTTTTGCAGTGTATTTTGGTTGCCCTCTTTGAATAAGCCACCCGGAAAAGCTCAGCGTGTTAGATAGCTCTATTATACTGGCAGATAGATAAGGACACAGTAGTATGTGGGGGAATTCAAATGTACAATAAAGATTTCCACTACGTAAGAACTATTTAGTGTCCCTCAGTCCTACCTCAGGATGCTCCCTTTCTCTTTTGTTCTTACGCCTGCTCCCAAACCCAGAACATTCAAAGCAGTTAATTCCGTAAACTTAAGTACACATAGCTAAACCTCTGAATCTTAGAGCTTTAGGAATATAATCCCACTCAAAATGTTGACAGCCATTTGTCTGAGAGGAAATGCTGCTATTCTGATGTTTAGTGATGCTCCTGAGGAATGATGACAATAAAAGGCCGAATTGCAGTGCCTGTAAACAGTTTCTCTCTAAAGGCATGATGACAAAACTCCTTGAAGCGACTTTTTTGTCTGACCTCAGCAACTTCACGTGAAGTACAAAACAAAACAGGCTATGTGACTTCTGCAGAGAACCATGTACCAGACTATAGGTGATAGATATACTTGATATATTCACGTGAATCCAGCCAGTTGTGGAGTCTTGTAGTCTTGCACTTGTGTGCTCCCCATCTTCAATGCCACACACAGAGTGGGGAGGTATGAAGGTCAAAACTGCAAACAAGAATCAATCCACGATTCTGAATTGTGGACAGATTTAAGAAAAGTTTCTAGTTGTATAACCTCACCTATGGCTGAAGACTAGTACAAGCCAGGCCTGCTCTGTCAGTTGTAGCAAAATTTCTTTTATATCTGATAGAATTCTTGTCCTGGTACTACATAAGCTTATGTGAAGCATCTGTCCACTTTATTATTGTTAACTTACTAGATATAGTTCTTCCTTACTGTTAGAAAAGTACCGTATTACCAAATATGAAGCACTTCTAACTCTTTAGTTCTACAACTGTACCTTTAAGAAGAAATGGTATGTTGGTTTTCTTAAGGATTATATTTTTTATTAGAGCCAAAGATTATATTACATAAATATATTCAATCTACAGGTTTATGCTTAATGAAGTGAGGAAGGAGCTACTGCTGGAGGAGAAAAACTGTGGAAATTATCCCTCTGTCTCCCACTTTTCTATTAGTTGGAACACCCTTTTCCTGAATAGAAAAAGGCTTACTGGAATCTTACGATCCAAACCTCTCAATCTGCATGTTTTAATGGTTTTAGCAACTATTTAAAGACTTTTTTAAATCAACTTCATGCGGAAATTGTTATTTCTGTCCTCCCATTTCCCATCCAGGTGCACCTATTATTAGTGCAGGCTTAATTCAAGCACTCACTGGCAAGATGCATCTTCCTTGATAACTTCTGCCATCTGAAACAGAAAGAATTGCCTGGACTTTTGTCTTCCAATAGATAAAATATAATCTCTATTTTCATAAAGATTAGCCCTATGGATGAAATTTAATAACAAAATGTTCTTAATGATCAAAAATGCAGAGAATCTAAATGAGCTTTAATAAAATTATCCAGTTGAATCTGCTCCATTTTGAATGTCTGCTTTCTGAAGGCACTTTGCTGCAAAATTTTTGGTGTTATTCCAATTAGTTATGTTTTGACAGACTGACCACTAGATCAAACTTTCAGATTTATCTTGTGCTATTCAAAACTATTTCTTAAAACACTTTGTTCTATTGTTCTATTTTCATTAACAAAATGCCTCCCAATTTATTTCCATATTCTTGAAGTAACTGATTATTTGATATTTCTGTTACATTAAAGGATTTTTTTTAAAAAAGTGTACTTCATAATGGTATAAATTGTCCAGAATACTGTAGATTAGAATTTTACTTCAAAACTCCCATATTTAAAACTATATAATGTAAAAACATGACTGCTGAAGCCATCTCCTGCCAGGGAATGTTACCACATTTGTGCTTTATCATTTTCAGAGTTTCCTGGAAATGTACCAAGACTACTGCTTGAGAAGCACTGTTGTAATTGTGTTTGTAGGGTTTTGTATTTTCACATTTTGCTTAAACCGGAAGGCTGATTTACAATGTATGTTCCATACATTCTTGATTTTTGGTCTTCGGCACACAACTATATATCAGTTGTTCCAGTCTAGTTGTGTAATTGTCCCATTGTTTCCCAGAGCTCCCCAGATATTATTAGACTGTTCACATTGCTGGCTGCCAAGGCAGTTGGGATTTACAGTTCAGCATCTGGAGGCCTGAAAGATACCCATATATTCTGCAAGAAATGAACACAACTCCTATTCAATTGTCAAAATGTGATGTTGTGGATAAAAGAAATAGTAAAAAATAATGGATCGGAAAGCCTATGATCCCAATTCTACTAAATAATTTTAGTTTGACCAGGTGCTTTGTATGGTATGTGGGGAATGACAACATAATGCTGCAATAGACAGTCCAATAGACTGACCACCTATGGAAAGCCCACAAACAGGTTTCCTGTGCTAAAATATTTCCCCTCTACTCATTCCCCAGGAACAGGTAGCGAGAGGCATAATGTTTAAATAACCGGAGATAATATATATAACCTTATCCTTCATGCATTCATCTAGTCTATTTTAAATTGTGGTTTAGTGATAAACATAATATACAGCAACAGTTTTCATGTACCCCGGCTGCACTTTGAAGTACCTTTTCAAGGTAATATTGAAACTTAAGTTCAGCTTCATCAAGGTTGCTTGCAAGACTATGATCACTTCAGTGATACCTGGTCGTCGTCCCCAGCCCCACTCAGTAAAACACTTTGATGTGGACACATAAAAACAATGTAGCATGTAGATTTGATCAAGAGGGGAAAATTAATATCTTGAAATGTATCTGATGGAGCTGAATACTAGTGCTTTCAACCACAATGCCTATAGAACAAAATTAATGTATTATGTAACAAAGGAATGCATTAAGCCTACTAGTACATCCTAAGTCTGCAGCGTAGCTTTCGTTGAACTTAAGCTGTTTCCTAAATGTCAAATATAGATTCTACTGCTCAATTTATTGAGAAGCTCATTAAACAAGATGAAGGCTAAATGAGTTGGGCAAAGTCAGGACAGGACGGTTGGCATGACTGAATGCCGTGATTTGGATAATAAAGAAAAATATTTCTAGTAACATTAGTTGATAAACAGTTGCCATCCTCAAAAGCATTTCAAATCAGGCTAAATCACTGCCAAACAATTTGGTTTGGACATGAAAACAATGCAGCCTCCATCACTCCTTAAATATTTGATGGGGGACAGTCTTATTATACTTAGCTCCTAGAAAAAATGTGAAAATGTTACCATGTCTTATCTCTCCCTAAGTGCACCAGTGATACTCATACTCGTAATACTATACTGCTATTTCCCTCTACAGTTTTAATCTCTGCATTATAATTAAAGGTTAGGCTGGTTTCAACCTGACGAGAGCCACCAACGCATGGTCATATATGTATATCGGGATTCAAACTTGTCCAAAACAAAAGCAGTATTTAATACAGCACAAATCGCATCTTATTTGCAAGCAAGTCAACTATACAGAAATCTTACAATGTCCTAATCCAATAAAAAACATTTTTCCAAATAAGTCTTATTTTGAAGTCTTTGTATCTGATGGATTTTCACCAGTGTCGAGTGTCTTCAGCAATCGAAAAAGGCCAGCTGCTTCTCTTATTCGACTGAATTCGATACAAAATGCTTGTACCTCTATAAATAAGTCCTGTACATTAATGATCTTGTTCCGAATCAAGGATTGTAGGAAGACACAAACGAGACGAACCAGCCGATTCTGAAACAAAAAAAATCCCATATGACTTGCTTTGTAAAAAAAAAGAAAGAAAAAAAGATTAAAGACGTCATCACACTAGAGAATGAGTTCACTTTAAATCCTGTTGCTACCTCCTGCAGAATTCTGTGGTTTGTAGTGTAGGGAAGAGCCTTTAACCGCCTCACTAAACTACAAACCCCAGAATTCTGCAGGAGGCAGAAACCGGATTTAAAGTGGATTCTTTCTCTAGTGTGATAAAGTAGTAAGAATAATATCCTCATTAACTAAGACAATGGGAGACATATCTAAGGCAGTGGTTCCCAACCCGTGGGTCCCCAGGGATTTGTTCCCTTAGATCAGTAGTTCCAACCCGTGGGTCCCCAGGTGTTTTGGCCTTCAACTCCCAGAAAACCCAGCCAATTTACCAGCTGTTAGGATTTCTGGGAGTTGAAGGTCAAAACATCTGGGGACCCGCAGGTTGAGAACTACTGATCTAAGGGAACAAATCTGTTTATACTTTGTAGCCCAATTCTGTTAATTGAATTTATTATTTCAATTCTGTTAATTGAAACTAACCTTGGGGGGGGGGGGGGTCTGAAAGCTACGATTTCCATCTTTAGTCTTTTTAAATAAATCTTAATATTGAATATTTAGACCTAAGGTCATTTTTGAGGCTTAAGCACATGATTACTATCTGAGATTGGTGAAAAAGTTAAAAGGCTCTGCTTTTCCGATCTTCAGTTTTGGATTCTTTAGGCTTAAAACGAATACGGAAGGCAGCACCATAGGATTTTGAAACTGGATGGATATTTCACATTCCTAAGTAAAAACCCCACCTGGGGGTTTGTAAATACTTTCCATATTTTTAGAAGCATACATTATCAGCTCTGAGATTTTTTTCCAGCTTGCCTCTAAGTTATGCAGGAACATTTTAGGAAAAACATAACTTTTTGCTCAAATTTGTCATACAACCTAGAACACGCACTACATAACTGAAACACCAGTAATACCTACCTGCATATATTTATCTTTAATTTGTTCACATGTAGAAATACAGTTGGAGATATAAAGGTGGATAAATTCTGGAGGAAGATCAACTGCTGTAGTAAGCCTGTTCAAAATATTAAAAGAGTTTATTTTAAATTATTTGCAACTAGCCTGTTAAATAAACAGATGTATAAATTACTAGTCCTGGCTGGGGAAATTCAAACTGCATTGTGCCCTCAAATAGTAAATATTACTCTGTATGGGAAAGTTAGGGGAATATACTTCTACACTCTAATTAAGCAGACAAATGACAGTTTCTTTGCGTAAAGATCTCTTATTTTAGTCCCCCCCCCCCCTAAAAAAAACTTCATTCAACTTAAACCCCTTCTGTAACTGCACCCACTTCAACCTTTTAAAAACCTTTAAATAAAAGAAAGGGCACAGAGAAAAATATGTTCTAAGCATATTTTTGTCAAAAACATGCATTATGAAAGTAAAAACATACCTATTTACAACTTCCATTGAATGTAGAGACATATCCATGTTGACCAAGACCGAAAAATATTCTGTTATCTGACTTGACTGCATTAATTTAAGCAGCATCTCTATGGCAACTAGGGGGTTATTTTCCACCAAGTCAGGTAATTTGGCAGGTGTAAGTCCAATATGATAAACAAGCTTGGGATCTTTTTCCAGTTCTCCAAGGAGCTGCATTAAAAAGTAAAAAAACAAAAAAAAAACAACTAATATCAGTACTAACATGACACAGTATAACAGACTAAAGTCTACACAGATCTTTCATGTTTAGACAGGAGACTGCTGCAGCGTTGGGAATGGAAACCAATTTTTGCTCCGCATGCTAAATCAGCATGTCACCAATATACAATACTGAAGTTGCATCATTTCAGGATTTAGGTAAAAGTTTTCCCCCCTAGAAAATACATTATTGAATGGTGACGCTCTCTTCAAGTGAAAAATTGCCCCCTACCATTCAAAAATGGCAACTTGAAGGTTTGCAGGGACATGCTGCTGGGCTTGATACAAGCCTGCATTTTTTTTTCAATTTCTGCTTTACATGGTACTTGTAATATGCAAGGTATCAGAGGCAGAACACATAGCAACACAATGTCACACCTACCTGTGTTTGCTGCTGTGATGACAAAGGACTTTTGAATGCTTTGGCCATGATTCGCTTAATTTCTACTCCAGCACTGTTTTTCACACACATTGACTTATCCCACTGAATGGCATGATCTGGTTCTATAGGGTTTAACCAAGCTAGTTCATCTTCACAAATATGGAGTGGAGGTGGTGGCCGGATAAATTCTGGACGAAAATGACCTAGGGGAAGGAATTTATACTCACAGTGACTCAAACAAAAACGTTTTAAAAATAAATATCCATCATACTAGACAGGCTATGGTTTACCAACACTGCCATTTACTATGTTTCTATATACCATGGCTATTTTGAACCATTTGGTGCAGGAGACCTATGCTTACCTCCTTTTACCCACCAGATAAAGAAACCCACTTCTGCCAAGTATGCATGATTGAAACTTCATTATAAATACCATTATGTGCCTTCAAGTTGTTTCCAATTTTGGCAACCATAAGGTAAACCTATCAAAGGTTTTCATAGCAATATTTCTTCAGGGTGGTTGCCTCTGCCTTTCTATGGGGTTAAGAGAGTATGACTTGCCAAAGTGGATTTCCCTGGCCAAGCAGAGATGCAGACCCTGTCATGGCCTAACACTCAAACCAAGTTACATCATACTGGCAGGCTTCAAATATTTTATTTATGTAGTGTCATCGGTGTATATGTAGCCTTCAAATGAAGAAAGGCTTTATTTTATGCTTAAAATAACATAGATAGGCTAATTTCCAAAAGAACACCTGGATAGTTTGTTGCTTAAAGCAAAAGACCAATATAGGTTTTTATATACAGTTAGTTTTGTACTATTAAGTGAGAATGGAGCTTCATTCTTTCAGAGGGCTCATGACCTCAGTGCCAGGGGCAAAGAAGAGCTATGCACACATGTTATACAGGCTGTTGTGTCATCTGGGGGAAATGCTTGCACAAAGTCTTTATTTAAACTTTAGGATGTGATGCTCATTATATGATTATGACTCTCATTGCAGAAACAAGACATGTCAGTTCAATTCAGGTTATTTCAGCACTCATATTGGCTTCTATACAAAGAAACGCATCACTCTAAATATGACTTTTCAAATCCTAACATCAGTCATTGATTTGGAGAAAATCCATCTTCTAGATTGCAGTCAAGTGATGTCTAGTACTCTGAATATTAGTTGCAATCAATACAATTACAACCGAAGCAAAAGGAACACTATAGCAGATCATGTAGCAATGCATACTTTCAATAGGTGGCTTTGGTCCACTCACTAGAGCTTCAGTGATTTGGGAGGCGACAGAACTGTCAAAACCAGAATTTGAAGAATCTGGGTCAGGGTCACTAAGAATGCTGGGAAAACTCGCTTTACTCTGTGTAGGCAGCTCAGACTGACGCTCTGGAAGACAAAATGGTTTAATTCAGTTTTAGAGCACGCAATTTATTTATTTATTTATTTATTTGATACACTTGTATACCGCTAATATCTCAGCCTAGAACGGCGACTCATTGCGGTTTACAGCAGTTAAAACAATCTACAATTTAAAAACATATACACATATAATAACAAATTCAATAACAAATTATTGGGCCACCAATAATAATCCCATATATCTCGAGTTGAAATCGCAATCCAGAATTCGTTGTCCATGTTTCCTGTCCTTAGTCATCAATATTCGAATTGCCACAGATTAGCCGAATGCTTGTTTGAACAGCCATGTTTTGAGTCTCTTCCTAAACACCATCAGCGAAGAGGCTGATCGTACCTCTATAGGGAGGGTGTTCCAAAGCCGGGGGGCCACCACAGAGAAGGCCCTATCTCTCGTTCCCGCCAGCCGCACTTCTGAAGCCGCAATCTCAAGAAAATCTCAAATCAATGAGGATTAAATTTATCCGTTATATTACATTGCTGCCTACAGGCAGCAAATGGCAGAAAGAAATCTGTGAGTTATTTGAAAACACATTCTTTCATACAGCTGTCAGAAGGATAGGACTTGCAACCCGTAACTGGGAAATATTCTTATGATTTTTTTTTCCAACAATGACATTCATGTTGACTTTCGGAAACACAAAATGCTATTAATTTAATCATAGACTCATAATACTTTGAGACTTTTCTGCAGCTTTGCAGAAGGAAAAAAAAAACCTATGATTCCACTGGCTACATGCATAAAGAATTTACAACAAAAGTAAAGAACAATGTACCAACTTTTATAATTCCTTTCGTATTTTCAGAATTTAGTCCAGACAATTAAAAATCAGCACCAGTACCTGGATTTACTCATTTCAATTAACTGAGTGACAGTGCGATAATTAACACTTTTGGGAACACTTGCACAGGGCCATCATAGTCCACCACTGGAGCAATCATCTGTATATTTCTCTGAGTTGAATCTAATGAAGGCATATGTAATTTTTTTTCTAAAAAATGATAGTTACAAATGTGCATTACCGGTATTTGGATAGTCTCCCGTATTCATAAGTAAAATAGAGTAAAATAGATGCACAAAGACCATAAACCAGTTACAGATTTACAGGCATCTAAGTGCATGGAAAATAAGCATAAATCCCTTTCTGTACTGGTCTCAGAGGGCTACTCTCTTGTCCTTGTACTCTGTCCAAAAACCTTTCACATGTAGCATCAGGAGGGATTTACTCCTGATGCTTTTCGCCAGAGGGAAAGGAAAGAAGCAAATTAGACCATAGGGATTCAGCTACTTTGCCTGGAGAAGTAAAAAAACATACACTCAATTTCATAACAAACCCACAACCATATTGAGATCAGCTGCTTCCTTTTGATCTGGAATTGCTTCCAGTAAGTTGAAAAGGGGCCTCTCTGGGGAATTGACAGTTGTAAGGAGGACACGGGAAAGCATGTTCAGATTTACACATAATGGGATCTTGACCATTATATGAGAAAGGCATGTCACATATCTCATTTGTCTCTTACTTATGTGCTTTCTAAGAATCCCATTAACATTAATATTACAAGTCAAGCCTCCCTTATCCTAGGTACTTGTGACCAGAAGTGTTTCATTTTTCAGACTTCTTTGGATTTTGGAATACAAATAACTTAGCATGTACTGTATTTGTGACTTTTGAAAGGGAGGGAGGCTGGAGAAGTGCAGACTCACATCAAGTACTAAACTTGGATTCCTGCCATTTCTGAGCATCAATGTCTCTCCAGGGTTGTATCTCGTGCACAACACATGGCTTTGGGGGGGGGGGGGGGGGGACTCAGTAACTGCAAAATCATGGAAATCTAAGACTAGTTAGCATGTCACCATGTCACAGATCCTTGCATTTCTCTCCAGCTTCTTGTTCATTCACAACAATTGTGATAACAGTAAGTTTTAAATGATCTTGAAACAAGTTAGTAGAGTCTACAATGACAGGGAGATCTTAGGCCAGACTTTTACCCAGTACAAGCAAACTATGGCCAAAATCAAACAATGAATACTTTTTATATTTATCGTTACAAAAGACCTAACCCGGGCATGGCCGGGTACCTAAGCTAGTTCAAAATAAAACAACTGGAGATGTAGTTTAGTACTTATTCATCAATTCCAGGAAGTCTGCTTTGATTTGAAAGGAAGGGTTCTGGAAAAAAATACTGATTTCATTTCAGGTCACTGGTCCTTAATCAACAAAGTCTTCTGTCAAATAAACAGTACTTAAGATAGAACCTTGCCAAATATGTTTGGTTTTTTCCACAGGCAGGGATATATCATTGGACACAGGTTTTAACTGGTAAAACAAGTGCTACAATTGCAAAAAGAATGAAACGTTTGGAAACAATATGCAGATCACATGAAGAATATTTTGCAGTATGGAGAGTAAAAGCACCAAATTTAATCAAAATATATTTCTAATGGCACTTTGCTTTTGAAAGTGGTCCAATTGCTATGAATGCTGTTATCATTCCAGCACCACATCAAAACATTGCTTGTTTTTCACCTAATTAATTTTATTCAATTTGCACATGTGCTATGATTAGCATTCTTCAACATTATTTTAGCTAGTTCTAAATTGCATCTGTGGATCATTTATGGGTCTACATAAATGATTTAATAAGACAGGACAGATATATTTGATTGATAAATAAGACACCTAATATCTGCTTTAACATGACATAATGCAACATTCTAGGTGTAAATTTGTACATCTGTAAACAGACAGTCCCCAGGACTTTATACAGTCAGTCCTATGGACAAGATCGTCCTATGGACAAGATAGGTTCTGTAGGTTTGTTCTTTAGTTGAATTTGTATGTAAGTTGGAACAGGTACATTTGTTATGTGTAATTTGAACCAATTTTTTTAAAGTTTTCTTTTCCTGTCTGTACTCCTGTTCAGAAGATTCCATCTCACTTTCTGTCCCTGTGACAACTGGATTCTGAAAAATTTGAGTTACCATGGAAACAAGGATTGGTGATAAAGCTTTAGTCAAGATACCTTTTTCCCCATGATAATTCTTTCAGGAGTGCATTTCCCTTCTCAGGGGTATGTTTCCACTGCCTGTTGTCTCACCCCCATTCTTAACTAGAAGTCAGATATCTGTAACTTGGGAACTGCTGTGTATGTTTCATAATAAATAGAGTATTAAATATGCAACTTCCAAAATCCATATGCTATCTTATAGGATCAGGCATAAATATATCTCTATGCACTCACAGTGATCATCATGCCCCCACACCAAACAATTAAAAAGCCTCAATTTTTTAAATTATGGATTGGCATAATTTGTTGTCACCTAAATGCCACAAATGATTTGTTTGATCACAAAAGTCAATGTACTTTTAAAAGTGACTTATGGAGAAAGGAGTAATCCTTACTATCTTACACGCATACACTCTCCTATCCAAAATCAACATTTCACTGTACAGCAACCAAACTGCAGCAACACAATTTATTTCTTACCCGCCAAAGCCAGCTGGAGGCCACTTATGTCTACAGATTGGCCCATATTTCCTACATCCATTGATGCAATCTGCCGTGGAGTCTTTTTGAACAGCTCTCTCGGGGGAGCCAACATCAACTGGGAAAGAAAGAATCTCTCTGGCGGTGTTATTGGAGGTAAAAAACCTGCGAAGAATAATAACAGTCATACCACAAAAGAAGTATTTTACACGTACTGAAGTGTCAAATCACAGTTACTCCAGAATTGCACAGCAGAACAGTGACTGTTGGTAGTGGCACCAAGGGACTCCCAAAAGGGAGGAAAAATTAGTGAAACCCGCCTGCCTTATTTTCAAAACCAGGAAATTCTAGTTAACACAGTGGAAACCTTGGGTGCATTCAACTATTTTCTATGAATGTAAGGACTTTGTCTCTTTTAGAGCAGGAAGCTCTGGATGCAGCTAATTAAAAAGATCAAATAAAGGAAGAAAACAGTTTGGATGTTGCACTAATAGCTAGTTTTTCACAGGCAAATTATGTGTGTGTGAACATAAGGGAATAACAAGAAAGAACTACGAAGGTACTGTTTGGCTATAAATTAAGCTAAAATATCTAAACAGACTATACATGTATACAACTATATTTAGCTTTTGAGGGATCTTAATACAGTATTTTTGTAAGCTATATTTCTCATCTCGTTTACCCTCATTTGAGAAACTTTCAGAATGACTTTATAATAATTGTCACTGCTTAATATATTTCTGATACTAGTGAACAATTGTTTGTGATGTTTATCAAACCCATCCTTACAATTCTGCAAAGAAAATAATCATTCTTTTCCTTATACTCGTAGATGAAGTACTAAGTCAAGAAAATGGTAACTTACTCAAGGCCATCCAGTTCTAAAACATACAGGTGCTAACACATACAGGAAATAAGTGCTAGCAAGCTGCCTTCTAACTAATTTAATGGTTGCTCAAAACTAGAACTGGCCCTCCAGGAATCTTCCATCTGTTGGTAAAAAGGATCACAAAGAGGGGAGATTTTAACGCCTCCTCCCATGTCCCACCTACACTATGATATTTTAATGACTGTATGTGTTTTTATGGTTGGAAACCGGGCTGAGTCCCTCAATGAGGTTGAGAAGTTCAGTATAGAAAACTTTGAAATAAATAAAAATAAATAAATACTTAATTGACCAGAGAGATACATCTGATTACACATCACACATCTACTCCCTGCTGCTCCTTCATACATTATTCGAACAGAGAAGGGAGTCATGACTGAAGGACAGTTTACCCTGCTTCCGACCCGCCCTGGGTGGTAGAAAGAAAGAAACAGGAAGTAGTCCAACCACTGACCACGGCATTAACTACTTTTGTCAGAAAGTGGCCTATGACTTTAAAATTATGCACTCAAACTTTTCCACTGCTGGCCTGATACAACTTTATGAGATACAGACAGCAGTGCTGTGCAATTATATATAAATACAGCTGGAAAATATCTATTTTGCTGAATGGGAATTCGACAAGAACATTTTAACTGCCTATAATTAGCACATATGAATGCTTGTGTTTCCCCTTACAAAGCAATACAGTTTGTAGAAATGTTAAAAAAAATCCAGAATTGTAAAATATTATGGGTGTTATACTCAGGGGGTCCCCCTGAGTATAACAAAATAGAAGGCCTTGAAATAGTGCTTCACTCACTAGCCATTTTCCTCTGCTTGGTAATTTAACCAGACTCTTATTTAATAAATCTTACATATTATGGAAGTGTGGTAGACAGAACTGATACTTAGCAGGCATTGATAAATTGTCTTGTTTGACCAGAAAACGATCATAAATGGCATTTCTCAGACTGGAAACTCCTTTTGGACTTTTTGCAAAGAAAGAAAATGCTTTGGTAACTTTTGAGTACGGTTATTAAAAATAATTTATTATAGAAACTTAGCATATGCTTATTCTAGACAGAGAGATTATATGAATAATCATTTTCTTCTCCAAACAAGTGTTCTGTAGCATTTGGAGACTCCCATTAGTTATAAGTTTTATAATTGTGTTGTATTTCAGACATGGAGTCTGAATTTTTCATCACGTTGTCCTACCATTGGCCAAGAATTGCCAGTGCCATGTTGGTTTTGCAAGCTCCAAGAGTTAGCAATACATACAATGTGTCTCCTTATTGGGCAATATTTTTATAGTTCCAAATTGTATACGAACATGGTACAGTATCCATTATCCAAAATGCTTGGAACCAGCAGTTTTTTTTAAATTTTGAAACATCTGTATTTGCTCATACATACATGATGAGATATCTAAACACAAAATTCATTTATGTTTTATATATACCTTGCACATATAGCCTTAAGGGAATTTTATACACAAGACTGTAATAATCTTGTGCATGAAATAAAGCCTGTATACATTGAACCACAAGAAAGCAAAGGCGTCTCTATCCCAGCTACCCATGTGAATAATTTTTGTATATTTCAGATTTCCAGATAAAGAACATATATAGTATGTATAACTTCTGAAAATATGATTGGAAATCTTTTTTCTTTTCTCTACCTCTATTTTCTTTTGTTTTTTCTAGATATTTTTCAGTGTAATTTTAAAATCAATGAAGACAACAGCAGATAAAGCACTACTAGAGAAACCTTCTGTGAAGCACACTGCAACAACAATATTTAATTTTTAATTATTGTTATAGAGATCTTTCAGTGTAGTGTTTAAAATCAATGGCAATAATATCAGTAGATAAAGCACTACCAGGGTAACCTTCTATGAAGGCAAACAGAACAATATCTATTTACTGAAAAGATGAAGAGAAGTCATCTGATTTTTTTCCCTTTTTCCTTATTTTTCTCTTTTTTCCCTTTCCTTTTCCAGATAACTTTCAGTGTAATGTTAAAATCAATAACAATATCAATAGTGACACCACTATCAAAGAAGTCTTCTGTGAAAGCACACACCGTCAAATTAAAACTGCTGAAAAGACAATAGAAATAATCTTTTTTCTTTCTGTATTTCTTTTTTAAAATGTTAAGATACATTTAATTGTAAAGTTAAAATCAATGATAATTTTAAAAGTGTCTAGAGCGACTTGAGAAACTGCAAGTCGCTTCTGGTGCGAAATAATTGGTTGTCTGCAAGGATGTTGCCCAGGGGACGCCTGGATGTTTTACCACCCTATGGGAGGCTTATCTCATGTCCCCGCATGGAAAGCTGGAGCTGACAGGAAAGAGCTCACCCTGCTTCCCCAGATTCGAACTGCCAACATTTCAGTCAGCAGTCCTGCCAACACAAGGGTTTAATTCATTGTGCCACAGGGGCTCCACAACAAAATTAGCACCACTAGATAAAGCATGACTGAAAAAACATGTGAAGGCACACAGCAGCAATATCTCATTGCTGACAAGATGACAGTAATAATCTTATTGTTCTCCTTCTTTCCCTTTTTCTTTCTATTTCTCCTTTTACATTTTACTTTATTTTTTTCTAGATATCTTTCAGAATAATATTAAAATCAATAATTCAGCAATACATACTAGAGAGACCTTTTGCGAAGGCACAGACATCAAGATTTAACTGGTGACAAGACAATGCAAAGTATTTATTTATTTATCATGTCAGAAGCGAACCAAGGTTACAGTTGTAATGTATTTAAAAAATGCAAACAAAGTTAAAAACTTGGCATTATACTAAATGTCCTTTGACCAGTAGCTGGCCACTTTGAGTGCCTTTTATTTTCCACCCCACTTTTTTCTAATTCTCTTTTTCTCATACTTATATATCTTTCAATATAATGTCCTTTTTCCTTCCTTCAGCTCTGAGAGGGGGGGGGAGGTAGTTTAACCCCCCTAACATTGGTCATGATTGGTATATATGAGCCAGCTTGCTCCAGACCTATTGTGGGTGGGATTCACATGCTTCTTCAGATGTGACTGGACTACAACTCTCATCTTGCTGTATCAACCCCGCCCCCGGAGATGCAATCGGTGAAACCCAGGACTGCTGACCAAAAGGTCGGTGGTTTGAATATTGGGGGTAGGGTGAGTTCCCATCTGTCAACTCTAACTTCCCATGCAGAGACATGAGAGAAGTAACACATCTGGATGTCCCCTGGGGGCAACATCCTTATAGACGGCCAATTCTCTCACACCAGAAGCAATTTGCAGTTTCTCAAGTCGCTCCTGAAACGATGAAAAAGCTAAACAAGAAAACAACCCACAAGTATTTTAATTTGGATCATGAGGGATATGTGTGCCAAGTTTGGTCCAGATCCATCACGCAATATAGGAGCCCGTGTGGTTCAAACAAACAAACATCCATACCTAGCTGAGGCCTGTACAACGTGTGGCCCTCCAGGTGCTTGGGCCTCCAACTCCCAGTTGGTCCAATGGTGCAGAATTCTGGGAGTTGGAGGCCAGATCAGCTAGAGCAGGCCTGGGCCAACCTGGGCCCTCCAGGGGTTTTGGACCCCAACTCCCCCCATTCCTAACAGCCTCAGGCCCTTTCCTTTCCCCTCTCTGCAAGCGGCTGAGTGGGAAAAGGAAAGGGCCTGAGGCTGTTAGGAATGGGGGGAGTTGGGGTCCAAAACACCTGGAGGGCCCAGGTTGGCCCAGACCTGGGTTAGAGGGCCACAGGTTGTGCAGACCTGAATGGGTGGCTTACCTGAGAGCGGGGGCTTCTCGCCGTCGTCGCCGGCGCCTCCACCCCCCGCTCCGGCCGGGCCTGTCCCAGCTGAGCCGGGGCCCGCGGATCCCGGGGCGGCGCTGGCGTTGGGCTGGGCGGCGGTGGCGGGGGGCGCTCCGGGGGCGGCGCTGGCGCGCTCGGGCGGCGCGGGGTTGAGGAGGTGGGCGAAGATGGCGGCGAAGGGGTTGGCGGCGAGGGGCTCGGTGCGGTACATCTCCCAGAGCAGGTAGAGGGCGGTGAGGCGCTGCGGCGGCGTGGGCAGCAGGTCGGGCTGCTGGAGGAGCAGCACCAGCACGGAGCCCACGCGGAAGTGCTCGGCCTTGCCGAAGTAGTGGTGGAAGGCCGTGGAGAGGCCCTCGAAGCTGCCCCCGCCCGCCTCCTCCGAGACGATGCTCAGCAGGCTCGACAGCTCCTTCGGGGAGAGGCTCATCTTCTCCTCAGGGCAGGGCGGCTCCAGTCCGAAGGGAAGGCCGCCGCGGGCGGGAAGGCCGCGGCCGGGAACCGAACCCGCCGCCTCTGGGGCTCAGCCGCCCTCAGAACAACTCGCACGGGCCCCGCCCCCGGGCATCCAGCCTCGACCCTTCTCCCCCCCCCCCTCTCTCTCTCTCTCTTTCTCCTCACGGCCTCTTCCTCTCCCCTCTTCCTCCTTGCGCGCGCTCTATTGTTCAGCCTCTCACCTTCCTGCCGTAAAGCTACCCCCCACCGCGCGTTTTCAACACTGTCGCAAAACTAAAGGCAGAGGAGCGGGAAACTGGCCCGAGGGAGGGAGGGAGGAACTATCATTCTCTCTATGGGCCAGATTGATTTTCGCCGAGCCTTGCCCATCTGATTGGTTCTTCCCAGCTCGGATACTTGAGGGAAAGACTGGATTGGCTGCTCGAATTTGGAACGTCAGCAGGAGGAAAGGGATTGGCCGATTCCTTTTTCAGGTGGAGTGCTTTCATCAGATGACCCGAGACATGTGTCGCCTTACAACAACAAAACTTTATTTCTATACCGCTCTATCACCCCGAGGAACTCTCTTCATAGACCTGTCACCTGTCAATCACCGCCTCCTCCGGAGAAAAATGTATAATACCACAAAGGACGACCACCTCACTCGCCTCACAGGAAACCTGCTACATAACAGGACTTTTTTGTTGAGTTCCAGGGCCAGAGAAGCAGATGGCGGAAACAGAAGAACGGCCTGCCTCAGGGGAGGGTGCTTGCTCCATCCATGTTCAACATCTACACAAATGACCAGCCACTGCCAGAAGGGACAGAGAGTTTCATCTATGCTGATGATTGTGCCATTACTGCTCAAGCAGGAAACTTTGAGATGGTTGAACAGAAGCTCTCCGATGCTCTAGGTCAGGGGTCCTCAAACTTTTTAAACAAAGGGCCACAGTTGTGACGGCGCGTGTAGCGCCACATATATTTAGAACTGTTAGTTGCAGGATTTAAACTGCCATTTTATTCCTGTCTACCTTGTATATGTATAGTTAAATTTCATTGGTTATTATAGCTGTCAATTTATTGTTGTTGTGCACCAATTGGCTTGTTTCCCCAGTTCATTTGTTTAGGCTCCGCCCCTTCCAAGGGAGAAAAGAAAGGTATCTCTCTCACCTTTTTTTACCTGAGAAAAAGACTCATTGGATGGACGTGTGCAAAGCTTGGCCCAAAGCCCCTGGTCAAGGCATTTTTTACTACCAATTCTTAGGTTTTTACCCCTGAGTCTTATACTTTATGTTCAAACCCCCTGAACGACATTGTGAAGATCTCAGGCGCCTTCATTCCGGTTCTTTGGCACCATAGGAAGGTCTTGTCCTTCAACTTAGGCCACTGAACTGGGGTTGTGGTTTGCTCCAGCATTCAGAACCATTGAGAGAGAGGGAATAGGAAAAGCTTCTCAGCTTATAACTCCTAGGACCCTGGACTTTAGAGTTTGTAAAGTATTTTTCCCTGTTGAAACATCACGTTTGTGCCTAAGAAAAAGAACTAATTGTCAACAGTAAACACCATTTCGAGTTACTTGTTGTGTTCTGGTCCTTGGGAGTTCCAGTTTCCCTAAAGGAGGGCAAGAAGCAATCCCCTGGGGAAAGAAGTCACGTCCATGCCTCTTTCTCTATAGCCCCAGGCGTGACGGCACAACAGTCCTTCAACTGTTAGAAGGCCGGATTATAATTTGAAAAAAATAGAAATTCCTATGCATGCTGCACATATTTCATTTGTAGTGCAAAAAACACTTTAAAACAATAAATAATTAAAATGAAGAACAATTTTACCAAATACAAACTTATTAGTATTTCAATGGGAAGTGTGGGTCTGCTTTTGGCTGGAAAGGTAGGATTTTTGTTGTTGTTGTGTGCTTTCAAGTAGTTTCAGACTTAGGTTGACCCTGAGCGAGGGCCTGATAAATTACTTTGGAGGGCTGTATCCGGTCCCCAGGCCTTAGTTTGAGGACCCCTGCTCTAGGTGCTCTTACTGCCCATTATGGGGAAAACCAGCTGATCCCTAATCCATCCAAAACACAGACATGTGCCTTTCATCTCAAGAACAGACAAGCATCCCGAGCTCTGAGGATCACCTGGGAAGGAATCCCACTGGAGCATTGCAGCACACCCAAATTCCTGGGAGTCACTCTGGACCATTCTCTGACCTACAAGAAGCACTGCCTGAACATCAAGCAAAAAGTGGGCACTAGAAACAATATCATACGAAAGCTGACTGGCACAACCTGGGGATCACAACCAGACACAGTGAAGACATCTGCCCTTGCGCTGTGCTACTCTGCTGCTGAGTATGCATGCCCAGTGTGGAACACATCTCACCATGCTAAAACAGTGGATGTGGCTCTTAATGAGACATGCCGCATTATCACGGGGTGTCTGCGCCCTACACCACTGGAGAAATTACACTGTTTAGCCGGTATTGCACCACCTGACATCTGCTGGGAAGTAGCAACCAATAGTGAAAGGACCAAGGCAGTGACATCTCCGGCCCATCCTCTGTTTGGGTATCAGCCAGCACGCCAACGATTTAAATCAAGAAATAGTTTTCTAAGATCTACAGAGACACTCGCTGGAACACCTCAGCAAGCGAGAGTCCAAAAGTGGCAGGCTCAAACCCAGAACCTCAACCAATGGCTGATACCAAATGAGAGACTCCTCCCTGGGCACACAGAAAACTGGGTGACTTGGAAGGCGCTGAATAGACTGAGCTCTGGCACCATGAGATACAGAGCCAACCTTAAGAAATGTGGCTACAAAGTGGAATCCACGACATGCGAGTGTGGAGAAGAGCAAACCACTGACCACCTGCTGCAATGCAACCTGAGCCCTGCCACATGCACAATGGAGGACCTCCTTGCAGCAACACCAGAGGCACTCCAGGTGGCCAGATACTGGTCAAAGGACATTTAATAGGATACCAAGTCTGCAAATTTTGTGTTTTGTTTGTCTGTTTTTTAATGCAGTACAACTGGTTTGGTTTGCTCCTGACACGATAAATAAATAAACCCCGAGGGGACTCAGAGCGGTTTCCAAGTAACATCATCAATACATTCAAAGTAAACAACATAAGCATAAAATTAACAAGACAATATAAGCATAAAAATCACAATAGCACATATATATTTAAAAAATCCTGCCTGTTCAAGGCAATTTAAATGGCCGGGCCGAGGCTAGTGCAATTTGTAGAGGGCCCGGGAAATTAGGTAGAGTCTATGGCTGTTCATTTCCAGGGCCTAATAGGAGGAAGTAACCTGGGTAATTGGTAGAAAAAGATATGACCATATTCAACAGTATCTGGGGCTGAGCTAGAACTAGTCTTCCAAGGCTTGTTTAAACCACCAGGTCTTCAGGCTCTTATGAAAGCAGGGGAGGGATGGGGCCTGTCTTACTTCTCTAGGAAAGTTGTTCCAGAGGTGGGGGGCCACCACCGAGAAGGCCCTCTCTCTCATTCCCACCAACCGTACTGTGACGGGTAGGAGCGATAGGAGGGCCTCTGCGGAAGATTTTAAAGTTTGTGCTGGTTCATAGAGGGATATGTGATCGTGAAGATAGGAGGGGCCCAAACCATTTAGATCAGTGTTTCTCAACCTGTGTGTCCCCAGATGTTTTGGCCTTCAACTCCCAGAATCCTAACAGCTGATAAACTGGCTGCGATTTCAGGGAGCTGTAGGCAAAACACCTGGGGACTTACAGGTTGAGAACCACTGCCTTTAGAGCAAACATGTTCTGCCAACATAGCAGTTCGAAAACATGCCAATGTGAGTAGATCAATAGGTACCACTCTGGCGGGAAGGTAATGGCGCTCCATGCAGTCATGCTGGCCACATGACCTTGGAGGTGTCTATGGACAACGACGGCTCTTCGGCTTAGAAATGGAGATGAGCACCAACCCCAGAGTCAGACACAACTGGACTTAATGTCAGGGGAAAACCTTTACCTTAACCTTACCAAGAGCAAGCATGGGAAAACTTCGGCCCGCCAGGTGTTTTGGACTTCAACTCCCACAATTCTTAACAGCTGTTAGGAGTTGTGAGAGTTGAAGTCCAAAACAACTAGAGGGCCAAAGTTTTCCCATGCCTGCTTTAGAGATTGGCATTCTCTTTTCCATACAGAAAGTCAGGGTTGAAGGATAATAACACTATGTAACACGAGTTTTGTTCCTAGGTTATAAATGTTGTTTCCTGTTTGGTTCTATCCTGGGGAAAAGGTAGTGTATACATTAATAAATATGGATGCTGCTTCCTCTCTTTCTTTTGTTTTTTCTGCTTTTTAAAAACACTTTTCCAAGATGAGGAAACAGATTTAGAGGATAATTGAAATACGATTGCCCTAAGTTTATTTTATTACTTTAGTAACATTAAAAAGCTTCATTTATAACTTGCTTATCATATAAAATGGTACTGTTTGGTGTGTTCATGTAATTTCGACATTTAAAAGCCTTACGTTCAGATAAGCAAAATTGTGAATTATTAAAGAGTTATAACTCTGTGCCACCTAAACAGATAATAATTTACTACATATAATATAAGATATATAAATACATAAAAATAATTTTATATTATTTTAAATTTTAAAAAATTAAACAATAACCAGGTGAGCGGGCCCTCTGGTTTGAAGGTGGTGTTGTTGAACGCCAGATCTGTCAACGGTAAAACAACCTGGATCCAGGATTTAATCCTGGAGGAACGGGCAGATCTGGCGTGCATCACGGAGACCTGGTTGGACGAAGCTGGGGGCGTAAACCTCTCCCAGCTTTGTCCTCCAGGCTTCTCCGTGCAACACCAACCAAGAGCCGGAGGACGGGGAGGCGGGGTCGCAGTGGTCTATAGAGATTCCATCCATCTGACCAGGAGTCCCATCCCGCAGACCACAAACTTTGAATGCGTCCACCTGAGGGTGGGTGACCGGGACAGAATAGGGATTCTTGTAGTGTACCGTCCACCTCGCTGCACTACAGTCTCCCTGCCTGAGCTAGCGGGGGTGGTCTCGAGCCTGGTGGTGGAGTCCCAACGGCTACTTGTGCTGGGGGACTTCAACATCCATGCCGAGACAACCCTCACAGGAGCGGCTCAGGACTTCATGTCTGCCATGGCAACCATGGGGCTGTCCCAACAAATAACTGGCCCCACCCACTGTGCTGGACACACATTGGACTTGGTTTTCTGCCAGGGATGGGAGCAAGGTGGCGGTGTGGAGGAGTTGTCCATCTCTCCGTTGCCATGGACCGACCACTTCCTGATCAGATTTAGGCTCACTGCCCCCCCTAACCTCCGCGA